TCAGAATCTTGTAGAGTCACATGACCGGCGCCACTTCCTATTGGCTGGAATATTTCCCCGAAGACCTGCGCGAACAATCATTGTAAAACATTTTCAGATCTCTCGCCGATTCTCGCGAGATACGCCACGTGCTGCGAGGATTAAAAGATTGCACGTCGCAGTTCGACCAGGCCTGACCCCCCTGGTAGCTGTTGCTCGGCTCGTCGCGCTCGTTAGCATTCGAACCCTCGACCCCGAATGTAGAACTGGGTGGGTGTATTTGTGTCTAGTTCGTGTGGAGTAAAACGTAATAAATAAGTTTACATGGGAGAGGTTAGAATACGTGTTTTATATTGGCGTGATCTGCTACTAATATTATGTGATACATAATGTGTTTTATGCTAGGTGTACTTCAAACCAGTCACAATGCGTAGGTGGGGGGGGGGGGTGCTACGAGTGACAGCATTTAGAGGGTGACACCAAATTAAAAACTCGTAATACTGAAAACAACAACAACATTTTATACAGTTAGTAATATAGCAGAGGAAGAGGGATGACACCGAACAGAAAATGAAAAATTATTTTGATGGGTGTGCGGGGGGGGGGGGGGGAGGGGGGGGGGCTGAGGTTGACACCCTTGTTTACCACACCGGGTGACACCCGACCTAGTGACGACACTGCTGCAAACACAAAATATGGACATAATTGGTCATATAGTAATGTCTTGCAAACATCATACTTCATGTACTTGATAGCAAAGTATTACAAACACAAAATGTAATACAAATTAAAGCCCTACTAAAAGTGAATTCTTAATTTAAAGTCTCCCGACTAAGACTTTTGCATCTCTGAAACTCTTTAGAAAAATGTATGTAAATCTTGAATGTGTTATTTCTCAAGGAATCTCCTGAAAATTGGTGCCATTAATTGTTAGAGCCCTGGGGCAATGTTTACCCGTGTATGTATACACGTACAGCTGGGGGAGGGGGTGGAGGAAATGAGTGGGTGGGGATGGTTGGCGGAAATTAGGGTCGGGCTAGTTGGTTTGTACTAGGGGGCACGGAACGTTTTAATTGACCCTCGACCCGAGGGTGGGGATAAGACCCTGGTCTGTGGGCGTCTTGTCCGTCTGTAGTCTAAAGGTTCGAGTGGTGTGGTGTGTTTAGACGTAGTGGCCGTCCAAGGAAGTATGGATTTAATACGTGACCGTCCGTACAGCTATATTTTGCAGATGGCCGTCAATGTTTGGCGGCCGTCAATAAGCGTCAATATTTCACCGTTCTACTAAACTGTAATCAACAAGAAGAAATTATGAATAAATTAATTAAGTACTTTAATTAATATTAATGAGAGCAGCCAAAACTCCATGTAATCCATCATTAAGCACAAGACCACACCTCACACAAGGTATTTAAAGAGAAGGGGAAGCCACGTTTGAAAAATTTGGCGATTTATAGATACAGCTAGATGCCAGTTTACTTACTGAACAACATTTTTTAAATTTCGATGTATCATTTAGAGTAATGAGTGGTCGAATAGTAGAGCTTACGATTGCCATCCCGAAAGTCTCGAGTTCGGATCCCAGGCTCGAGTCTGTAGGACGTCCCTGAGTCCACCCAGCTCTAATTGGTACTTGACTCACGTTTGGGAAACAAAAGGCGTCTGTCATAATGCCGAACACACTGTCTCCCTGTATGCCGAGGTCATTGAAACAGATGAGCTCTACTTCACCTGCCATGGGTGTCTTGGGTCCGAACGGGAAAACATGATGTTGATAGGCTGTAATTCACCTGTTTTATATCTTTGTCCTGTTTCAAACCAACTCGTTGACATTTTCATCGAAACGTAAAGTTAAACCAATGCCTTTCATCATAATGGAGGTGTTCTCTCAAATTGTACAATAAAAACAATATCTGACGTAACTATATACACGCATAAATTAAACGATTATAATTTATCTAATTAATTATGTAAAACCATGACGTCGTAAAACACCTGATAACATTTTTATCGCACAGCTTAGATAATAGAGCCGGCCCACCTAGCTCCGCCCACATAAATAAAACCAGTAAAATTTAAATTCATCAAATTAAAGCTAGTACCACCCACCTGGTCGTGAAGTTATGAGAGTGACGTCACTCGCCGGGAAAAAAGGTGGACCCATCAGGACGTTAATTATTAAAGCTATCCATCGCTCACATCCTCTTTAAGATGTCTGGCATTGATAGAGACACAAACTGGCTTGTCGTGGATTTATTAAAAAATGTAATCAGATAAACTGTCTGTCAAGATGGAATTTCATGTATGTGGTGGTTGTATGTACTTGGCTTAGGCGTTCGGCAAGCACGAAGTCACACATAAACGGCTTTTTAAAGATATATATATATATATATATATATATATATATATATATATATATATATATATATATATATATATATATATATGTGTGTGTGTGTGTGGGTTTATGTATATATATATTTATGTGTTTATGTATATATGTATAGATGTATAGATGTATATATATATATATATATATATATATATATATATATATATATATATATATATATATATATATATATATATACATATACATATATATATATATAGGCCTATATATATATATATATATATATATATATATATATATATATATATATATATATATATATAAATATATATATATATATATATATATATGTATGTATACTAGACACAAACCTCCAATCTACTAGCTTATATATAGACTACTGCCTAGATTCAGATTCGTATCCCACCCATGTATAACACCTTCACATAAATCCATACACTATCGTCTCTTTACCACAGTCTGCTTGAAATAGCCATCCAACTTAACACATATATATTACACCCACATAGTTAATATACACTGGCTTCATATGCTGACCACACTATCCCTTCATATGCCGAGGTCACAGTCACTGGTGGATTCTACTTCCCAATGGACCATCAGGTTCAAAAAGGGAACTTAACTTTTTACACAAGCAGGGCCATCTACATGGGCCATTACTCAAGCAGGGCCATCTGTACAGGCCATTACATAAGCAGGGCCATCTATACGGGCCATTACACAAACAGGGCCAACAAAACGGGCCAGTCTAGACCAGCTAAATATCTCACGCATTGACAAATTTTGGCAGAAAGGGAGATAAAAAATATTAAAGAAAAAGGGAGCTAAATATTCGATAAAAACATCGAACAGTTACAGCGGAACAGAACGATCAAGCGAGATGAAAATGACCACATTTAAATAGATTTAAATGACTCGCTGGTATGTAAACCACAAGGTTGACCAGCAGGTCTCTCCACTTTTTAGGGTTTACTGGTTTTGGGCGCAGTATTAGACATTTTTATTTTTAGCGTTTTTTCCCCATCATACTAATGTTGAGAAAAACAAGTTAATTAAAAAGTCTAGTGACATTTAAGCGCAATTTCCTTATGTTATCTAAAAATAGCTCTGTCATAGCGTAAATCAAGAGCAGGGTTAGTAAAACCATTGGTTAGTTATTAAAACGTTTTTTATTAAATTTTTTTCTTCAGTATTTTACATGTTTTATTTACAATAGAGTTACATGACTAAAAACCATTGCGCGCCTAGCTACCGAACGTGATGTCGCAGCCATTGAATGTGATGGCGCAGCTATTGAACGTGATGACGCTTGTGGTGTGGTTGGATAAAAATGCCTACTAATTCGGTCCAAATTTTAATTAATTCAAAAAAAAATGTGTGACCGAACCCAAGGATATTTTTTGAAAACTTTCTTCGGCAATATTGTTCTAAATTATGGCAGGAATCGATTGGTACATGTTTCAAGTCGCTAAGTGGTCTGGTTGCCGAGATATGGGCCAAAAACTGCATTTGTTCGAGGTTTTTTTTTTGGCTTTTCCGGGAAATCCATGAAAGAAACCCGGAATTTTTATGGCCTATGTTCATCCTCGTAACTTGCTTAACTCAGTAATTATAATAAAAGACTAGAAAGATTCTAACGTTTCTCAAAGTGTGTATATCTCTTGCGTCATGCATCACTTGACAACAGTTTTAGAACCCATGTATTCATTTGTATTACGTTTAGAGCTGATATCGAAACTGGCATCAACGGAGGTTTTCAATCATAGAGATTTGCGGAAATATTCGGATTTTCCCGTACCTATTTTTGTCCTTACTCGGCATCTTATTTCGTACATAAACGGACGTTTGAAATATTCCAGTCTTCTTTGTTTAAATACCAATTTTTTATATGTAATTTGATTTACATGCCACACACTAACTTCACCCCCTCTTTATTCCAGTGTTGTCGCTAGTGGCTAGCATGTTCACTAACTTCACCCCCTCTTTATTCCAGTGTTGGCGCTAGTGGCTAGCATGTTCACTAACTTCACCCCCCCCCCCATCTTTATTCCAGTGTTGTCGCTAGTGGCTAGCATGTTCACTAACTTCACCCCCCCCCCCTCTTTATTCCAGTGTTGGCGCTAGTGGCTAGCATGTTCACTAACTTCACCCCCCCCCCCCTTTATTCCAGTTTTGGCACTAGTGGCTAGCATGTTCACTAACTTCACCCCCTCTTTATTCCAGTGTTGGCGCTAGTGGCTAGCATGTTCACTAACTTCACCCCCTCTTTATTCCAGTGTTGGCGCTAGTGGCTAGCATGTTCACTAACTTCACTCCCTCTTTATTCCAGTGTTGGCGCTAGTGGCTAGCATGTTCACTAACTTCACCCCCTCTTTATTCCAGTGTTGGCGCTAGTGGCTAGCATGTTCACTAACTTCACTCCCTCTTTATTCCAGTGTTGGCGCTAGTGGCTAGCATGTTCACTAACTTCACCCCCTCTTTATTCCAGTGTTGGCGCTAGTGGCTAGCATGTTCACTAACTTCACTCCCTCTATATTCCAGTGTTGGCGCTAGTGGCTAGCATGTTCACTAACTTCACCCCCTCTTTATTCCAGTGTTGGCGCTAGTGGCTAGCATGTTCACTAACTCCACCCCCTCTATATTCCAGTGTTGGCGCTAGTGGCTAGCATGTTCACCCTGACCTGTATAGCCTGTGATCGCTTCTTTGGGATAGTGTTCGCCATGAAGGCCCACTTCATCGAGCGACGGGCCAGCTTCACCATCATCCTCATCTGGCTGCTCTCGGTGGCCGTGGCCTCGCCTCTACTCTACTACAGACGTCTCAGCCAGGTGGGTTTCGTTCCCACGCCCTTTTAAAATTGTATCGTTTACTTGTTTTTACGGTCATCCGTGAAAGTCTCGAGTTCAAATTCGGGTTCATGAAAACGTCTCTGAGTCCACCCAGCTCTTATGGGTACCTAGCTGACGTTAGGGAAAGTAAAGGCGGTTGGGCGTAGTACTGACCACACTATTCCTTCATATTCCGAGGTCACAGAAACAGGTGAACTCTACTTCACTTGCACCATGGAGTGTCAGGTTCGAAAGGGAACTTTACTTACTTTACATCACTCAACGCTATTTTAGACCATTTATACCCAACGACAATGGGACGCCAATCTATTTTACACCACGTCGAGATAAGACGCAAAAATAAAATTGTTACAGATATCCTACTACCCCCCCCCCCTCTTTATCCACTCTACCATCTCTTCCCCCCCCCCCCCCCCCCCCCCCCAAAAAAAGTAAAAAGGGTTTACGTTTGTTTTTTAAAACTATACATGTATATCCTTCTTCACATGCCTCAAACACTTATGTTACCAGCCCCCATACCCCCCACCCCCACCCCCGCCCTTCACCTAAGGGTGTGTCACATCATTTATGGACGCCCCCTTTCATAATTTTTATACTACCTAACTCCCAAATTGCCTTCGTTGTATTTTTCCTTCTCCATAACAGTTTGACAATATGTGACCATGTATGTGTGTACTTAGTTTTGAATATTATAGTTACTGTGTGGAATTACAATGTCCGAATCTGATTGGTCAACTCTAACCAATGAAAACGCTTGTCACAACAGGAGCACTGGAAAGACGTCACCGAGTCGTGGTGTGATGACGCGTGGCCGCTCAGCTACTCGGTGGACCCTGAGACCAATGACGTCATCTCCCACAGCACCCCCAGGCGGTTCTACTACATGTTCGTCTGCGTGGCCCTGTTCTTCGTGCCGTGTCTAGCCATGTCGGTGGCCTACTTGGTCATCATCGTCACCCTCTGGTCAGCCCAGGTGCCCGGGGAGAGGATCAGCAAGGACATCAAGTCACAGACCAAGATGAGGAAAAGGGTGAGTTCAAATCTTTCTTACACCATAGCTTGGTGGTAAGCTCCACATCACATATTTGCATGAACCCAACATCATCTGAACCCCACACCAGAGGCGTAGCGACCCTTCCCGGCGCCCGGGGACATACTTTCAATTTGGCGCCCCCCTCGGGAGCAAACTTTCGATTTGCACCCCCCCCCCCTCGAACTTTTCATTTGCACCCCCCCCTCAAACTTTCGATTTGCACCCCCCCCCCTCGAACTTTTCATTTGCACCCCCCCCCCCTCAAACTTTCGATTTGCACCCCCCCCTCGAACTTTTCATTTGCACCCCCCCCCCTCAAACTTTCAATTTGGCGCCCCCCCTAAGGTCGGCGCCCGGGGACATATGTCCCCCCCGCCCCCCCCCCTCGCTACGCCTCTGCCCCACACCCTAGCTTAATAGTAAGCCCCACATCACACCTTGGCCTGAACCCTACACCATAGCTTGATGGTAAACCCAACACCGCATCTTGGCCTGAAACCCACATCATCTGAACCCCATTCCATAGCTTGATGGTAAGCTCCACATCACATCTTTGCCTGAACCCCTTACCACATTATCTTTTCTTGAACGCAACATCATATTAACCCTTCATTGCATCTTTGCCTGAACCCCACGTCACCTGAACCCCACAACATATCATCTGTTCCCAACATCTTGTGAACCCCCAAACCACATTTTTATGTGAACCCCACACCACATCATCTGTTCCTGACCCAACATAATATGAACCCCATTCTACATCTTTACCTGAACCCCACGTCACCGTGAACCCCACACCACATCATCTGTTCCTGACCCAACATAATATGAACCCCATTCTACATCTTTACCTGAACCCCACGTCACCTGAACCCCACACCACATCATCTGTTCCTGACCCAACATAATATGAAACCCATTCTACATCTTTACCTGAACCCCACGTCACCTGAACCCCACACCACATCATATTTTCCTGAATCCAACATCATCTGATCACCGCACAACATCTTTGCCTGAACCCCACATCACCTAGCAGTGCTATTCGCTACCAGATCTTGCCACAAGGCTAAAACATCAACTTATTTTTGTCCCATTTCCATTCCCCACACATCCTCTACCACCTAAGGCTCTTTAACTTACCGTCAGACAAAAATAACAAAACATCTTTCGTAACATCGTTTTATTATCTCTGATTAAATTCGACAGAAGTGATATCTAAATTTCTAAATCTGGTCCAAAAACGAACTCAAAAAAAAACACGACTAACAGTTTTAGCCACGTTAAAAATAGCTTTCGTTCCTAAATCAAAACATTGTTTTAATCCAACTCAACCGTATTATATTGCGACGTTTTTAAATTGTCAAAGCCAATGAATAACGCGCCTTTATATTTTGGTTCCATCCAGACTCTCTATTTCTAGTTTCTATAAAAGATTGAAAACAAAATACGTTTGTGTGATTTACTGAATATACAAGACCCTTCCCTTGCTTATATTATTCGCTCTTTTGTCTATATATTTAAAAATGTTAAATCTACATTCGTTTAATCTTTCCATGGAAATGTGACAAACGTGGTTTTTAAAAATTTTTTTTTTTTTGTTTTACAATAAATTTTTGTTTTACATTTTTTAAATTTATTTTTGTTTTACATTTTTTTTTTGTACAATAATTTTTTGTTTCAGTTTTGTTTTGAGACAATTTTTGTTTTATATATTTTTTTAAAAATAATTTTTGTTTACAATAAATTTTGTTTTACAATAACTGTCCATGGAAATTATATTAATTGTTGTATGTGCGAATAAAAAGTTAATTCTAAGATGCATTATATTACACCCTCCTGATGCCGCCTTATTTTGTCTTTAGTTAATCCACGCGACATAATCTTTCATCCATACATAAACCTCACGCAGCTAATCTCTAATCCCTAGATAATCCTGATGCTGGTGGTTATACTGGCGGTATTTTTTCTCTGTTGGAGCCCGCTGACCATCTCACTCATTTACTCGGAGTTTATTCATGGCCGGCAAACTAAAGTAAGTTTTACAGTAACATCATCTCTTGTAGGCAAACTAAAGTAAGTTTTACAGTAACATCATCTCTTTTAGGCAAACTAAAGTAAGTTTTACAGTAACATCATCTCTTGTAGGCACACTAAAGTAAGTTTTACAGTAACATCATCTCTTTTAGGCAAACTAAAGTAAGTTTTACAGTAACAACTGTATGTTTAAGAAGTGTCTGTGTTCTATCCTATATTGATATATTGGATGACTCTTGGAGTTGATGCCCCATAGTGTTGATGACTCTTCTGGTGGATGCTTCTAGTAGAGACTCCTATATTGGATGACTCCTCAATTGGATGACTCATCTAATGAATGACCACTAGCGGATCAGAGGGGGAGGGGGGTTCAGACATTTTTTCCGGGAAGGGGGGAACATTGGTTAGAGTATATATTTCGGATGCCTGAAAAAACTCTGTAGCGGATGATTCCTCTAATGGATGACTTTTTTATTGAATATGATTTCTATAGTGGAAGAATTCTCCATGACTCCACGAGTAGATGACTCCACCATGACTCCTCTATTTTATGACTATTCTATAGCTAATAGCGATCTGTAAAAAAGAAACTTGTAGAACCATCGAACATTCGGTACCAATTTGTCGAAGAAACATCACGTCAGTTTCATAACGCAGCCCTTCTATTCCGTCACTCAGTGTTACTGTAAGTTTCCTTCACTAAATCAAATTACTGCAGTAATTTAAGTAACTTAACTGGTCACCTGAAGTCATGCTGATCATCCGACTCTTCTGTCTGCTGTCCGACACGATACGTCTGTCATACGTCCGCCAGCTGTCTGGTGAGGGGGGAGGGGGGGCACAGGGGGGGATGAAGTTGTCTTCCGGTATTTGATTCAATCCCTGACGTCACTGACCCGCCCCGCCCGCACATCAAAACCAATTAACCAATTCTTGTTTGAGTACAAGCGCTGGTCGCTTATTGTGGTCTACGTCACTTCCTGGGCTCTACGTCACATCACGTTAAATAAACGCGCTGGCTATTTTTAAAAAGGGAAACCCATAAAAGGAAAATCTATTTCTGGACAATATTTTTTTCTCACTTCACAAACTCGTGTTTGCCTAGATTCGTCTCGTCGGCCATTTTGGTGCGTCCATTGACTCAATCACAAGTGAACTCTTGGGTGCTTTAATTTCATTAAATGTGGATTAGTTGTGTAATACCGAGTTATTAATGAATACCGACTATTCAAGATATTTTCGTTTGATTTTTCTTCTGATGAAATATATCCACATACCATGACGTGGTCAAGTTCAAGGGTCTAAATCGGTCTTATGGTATTTAAGGTCGTATTATGGTTTCATAAAATATTGTGTTCTTTTTTCGTCCGAGCTAGATTATAGTTAGGGTTGAAATGTAATTATTGTTAGACAATGGCATGCAGATAAAAAGTAATGGAATCCAATCAAGCACCACGGAGCTCTGTAACGGAAAGTGTATGGGAGCGGAGAGAAGATGATGGCGGAGAAAAAAAATTATTTAAAAATTTGACACGAGATCTTGAAAAATTAAAAAACCTACACCCGCTTCAAATGATCTTCGTGCCTATGGGTGCGAATATTCCAACTTTTAAATAAAATGCGGTAATGACGCCATCACGTTCTATTACATGATGTGTGTGTTTGCCTGTGTGTATGTGTGTGTAAGAGATGGGGGGAGGGGGTTACAACACGATGAAAGAGATTCCACGCTTGTCTCCGTTTATTAATAACCTCACGCCGATACATCGGTATAAAAATGTTCCCGTTTCCAGTTTTTAAAATCTGCTTCCTGTTTGTTTTTTGGTCGTCTGCAAACTCCAACAATACCCCTCAAGTTGGGCGAACCTATCCTGCTAACTACAACCAGTGGCGTAGGCAGGGGGGGGGTTAGGGGGGTCATAACCCCCCAATAGACCCCTCGGTATATATATATAAAAAGTATGAGGGGGGTGCAAATCGAAAGTTTGTCCCCGGGTAAAAACTTTGAACCCCCCCCCCCTTGAGACGATCCTGGCTACGCCACTGACTACAACAATACCGCTCAAGTTGGGCGAACCTATTCTGCTAACTACAACAATACCGCTCAAGTTGGGCGAATCTATTCTACTAACTACAACAATACCGCTCAAGTTGGGCGAAACTATTCTACTAACTACAACAATACCGCTCAAGTTGGGCGAACCTATTCTACTAACTACAACAATACCGCTCAAGTTGGGCGAAACTATTCTACTAACTACAACAATACCGCTCTAGTTGGGCGAAACTATTCTACTAACTATAACAATACCGCTCAAGTTGGGCGAAACTATTCTACTAACTACAACAATACCGCTCAAGTTGGGCGAAACTATTCTACTAACTACAACAATACCGCTCAAGTTGGGTCAACCTATTCTGCTAACTACAACAATACCGCTCAAGTTCGGCGAACCTATTCTAACTACAACAATACCTCTGAAGTTGGGCGGACCTATTCTGCTAACTACAACAATACCGCTCAAGTTGGGCGAACCTATTCTACTAACTACAACAATACCGCTCAAGTTGGGCGAACCTATTCTGCTAACTACAACAATACTGCTCAAGTTGGACGAACCTATTCTGCTAACTACAACAATACCGCCCAAGTTGGGCGAACCTATTCTGCTAACTACAACAATACCGCTCAAGTTGGGCGAACCTATTCTGTTAACTACAACAATACCGCTCAAGTTGGGCGAACCTATTCTACTTACTACAACAATACCGCTGAAGTTGGGCGAACCTATTCTACTGACTACAACAATACCGCTCAAGTTGGGCGAACCTATTCTTCTAACTACAACAATACCGCTCAAGTTGGGCGAACCTATTCTGCTAACTACAACAATACCGCTCAAGTTGGGCGAACCTATTCTGCTAACTACAACAATACCGCTCAAGTTGGGCGAAGCTATTCTGCTAACTACAACAATACCGCTCAAGTTGGGCGAACCTATTCAGCTAACTACAACAATACCGCTCAAGTTGGGCGAAGCTATTCTGCTAACTACAACAATACCGCTGAAGTTGGGCGAACCTATTCTACTGACTACAACAATACCGCTCAAGTTGGGCGAACCTATTCTTCTAACTACAACAATACCGCTCAAGTTGGGCGAACCTATTCTGCTAACTACAACAATACCGCTCAAGTTGGGCGAACCTATTCTGCTAACTACAACAATACCGCTCAAGTTGGGCGAAGCTATTCTGCTAACTACAACAATACCGCTCAAGTTGGGCGAACCTATTCTACTAACTACAACAATACCGCTCAAGTTGGGCGAACCTATTCTTCTAACTACAACAATACCGCTCAAGTTGGGCGAACCTATTCTGCTAACTACAACAATACCGCTCAAGTTGGGCGAACCTATTCTACTAACTCCAACAATACCGCTCAAGTTGGACGAACCTATTCTGCTAACTACAACAATACCCCTCAAGTTGGGCGAACCTATTTTTTTCAAATCTCTGCCTGAGGCGTCTTCTATAACCCGTTAATGGCGCCATGAAATCTGATTGAAAACAGCTTTTTTTAAAGTGACCACTATTCATCGATGTATTATATCCGCTCCACTACCCCCCCCCCCCTAAACCCCACACAGGCAGTGGTGAATTTAAACTACTTTTTAATAAAATACTTAAAAAAAACTTTTTAAAAAACCACGTTTTTCTTGTGGACTAAAAAGTAGAAAATAACTATTTACATACATTTGATGACAAAAAACGTGGGTACGTTCACCATCAAATTTCCCGACCCATCTGCCCGACCCACGTTTTTTGTCATCAAATGTATGTAAATAGTTATTTTCTACTTTTTAGTCCACAAGAAAAACGTGGTTTTTTAAAAAGTTTTTTTTAAGTATTTTATTTTCTCCTTTTTAGTCCGTTGCTACACATGAAAAACGTGGTTTTTAAAAAAGTGTTTATAAATACACGGACTAAAAATCTTGAGCGACCAGGATTCGAACCTGGGTTGTCGCGGCCACAACGCGAAGTACTAACAACTATACGATCACGGCCAGCGCGCTCACATCGATTGGGGCCGAAGTAACTGTGTCATTAGGACTCCAGTCTTGTCGGTATCTTTAGAAATCATGTCCTCAATTTTATGGTCCTTGGGGCGTAATTAAATTAAGCTAATTACGGTCACTAATTGCTAGTTTTTATGATTGCATCTGAAATTGTTAGGCGAAAGTAGCATGCATGCCAAATTTCAGGTCTCTAGAGCAATCAGAAGTGGGCTAATTTTCGATGTCAATTTTAACAACAAACATCCAAACAACCAAACAAACAAACAAACGCGAAGCTGAGTTAAGAAAAACGTTTTAAAAACGCCTTTTTTGTTGGTATGTAGTTAGACCACATATTTTGTCTGTCTGTTGTTAGAGCACATATTTAGTCTGTCTGCTGTAAGACTCCCCATTTTGTCTGTCTGTCTGCTGTAAGACCACATATTTTGTCTGTCTACTGTAAGACCACACATTTTGTCTGTCTGTCTACTATAAGACTCAACATTTTGTCTGTCTGCTGTTAGACTCCACATTTTGTCTGTCTGCTGTAAGACTCCACATTTTGTCTGTCTGCTGTAAGACTCCACATTTTGTCTGTCTGCTGTAAGACTCCACATTTTGTCTGTCTGCTGTAAGACTCCACATTTTGACTGTCTGCTGTAAGACTCCACATTTTGACTGTCTGCTGTAAGACTCCACATTTTGTCTGTCTGCTGTAAGACTCCACATTTTGTCTGTCTGCTGTAATACCACACATTTTGTCTGTCTACTGTATTTGTCTGTCTGCTGTAATACCACACATTTTGTCTGTCTACTGTATTTGTCTGTCTGCTATAAGACTCCCCATTTTGTCTGTCTGTAGATGGACGACTGGTACCACCACTTCCAGTACTTCGCCCGATACCTCGCCCACTTCAACAGCCTCATCAACCCGGTCATCTACGCTGGTTTTAACGACAACTTCAAGAAAGGTAAGCTACGGTACGTGTTCGGTCATTTTTAGCTGTTGGTCATTGTGCGTGTTTGGTCATTTTACGTGATGGTCATTTTAGGTTTTGGTCATTTTACGTGATGGTCATTTTTAGGTGTTTGGTCGTTTTACGTGTTGGTCATTTTAAGGTGGTTGGTCATTTAACGTGTAGGTCGTTTTTGGTGTTTGGTTATTTTACGTGTTGGTCATTTTAGGTGTTTGGTCATTTTAGTGTTTGGTCATTTTAGTGTTTGGTCATTTTACGTGTTGGTAGTTTTACGTGTTTGGTCTTTTTAGGTATTTGGTCATTTTAGGTATTTGGTCATTTTAGGTGTTTGGTCATTTTAGGTGTTTGGTCATTTGAAGTGTTTGGTCACTTTAGACGTTTGGTCATTTTAGATGTTTGGTCATTTTTGGTATTTGGTCATTTCAGATTTTTGGGGTCTAATGCACTAATTAATTAGTTAGTCTAGCTGAGACCAATACTTGCTGCCTCTACGACAACTATTAGATTCTTTATGTTCTTGCTACAACACCTATTATTTAGCGAGTAGAACTGTTTTTTTTTTAAAGAATTCATAAGTGATTGGATCAATATTTCTTGGACAATATTTCTTGGACAATATTTCTTGGACAATGACAAAATTGCAGGTGGGTAGAGACCAGCGTTAACGAGGCTTAAAAAATTTCTCGACAATTTATTCCGCCTGACCTCATTCTGCAATTTTTATTTTCGTATCGCGATCAAATTTAAAATTCTATTTTTGTCTTCGGTTTTTTTCATTGTTCAAGCCATTTGGATAGGAAGGTTTTTATTGGATTTTATCAACCAATCATGTGAACTGTATCATAAAGCTTTCTGTGGAGATGTGTTTTGTTTTGTATGAAGATTAGGTTTGTATGATTCACTGAGTCGTCATGTATGTTGCGATGTTTAATGTTGATGGCTGTTATTGTCGACATATGAAGAGTTTGTATGTCATATTGTGTGTCTTATTATGTGTGTTTAGCTGGTATTTTGTATGGGCCAGGTAAATTGTTCAGCAGCTATGTTTTATGTTCTAGGTTGTTTCTTCAGCTGGTTGGTTGTATGTTCTAGTGTGTATGTGTTAGGCTAAGTACTCGTGCGTATCCTTCGTATGTCGTGTGTACTGACGTCAAGTAGCCCCTTTTTGAAGTTACTGTATGTGTATGTTATTATGTCTTCTAAATCTTGTATGTTTTGACTTATCTTTCTTCAAATCTAAATCGAACTCTTAAGTCTAATTAATTAACCCTTTACGCCTTACTATCCCCCGTGACTCTAATTAACCTCATTTAACCCTGATTACACTATGACGCGCACATGACCCCTATGAACCACATATGACACTTTATTACCCCATATAAAAGCCCCATATTACCCATTATAACCACTTACTCCTCGCATTATCCAAAGAACCCATGTACCACTATAACTCCTCGATTTATCCAAATAACACTTGAACCACTATAACCCCTATACCTTCAATGACACCCTACGTTAGGGGGGAGGGGGGGGGGCGGTATCACCCAGACAGTGGAAAATTGACGAAAAAATTGGCCAAAAGAAACTATTATACATATACACATAATTTTTTTGTTACCGTAATAGTTATTATCAAGGAGCTATAAAAGAAAGTTAATGTATGATGCAAACATTTTTTTATAAATAATATTACCCAAAAAAATTTAATAAGAAATATTGGGCTGCAGCTTTCCAACATTTAGGCCCTTTCTGCTGAAAATACTCAAGGAGATACATAACATGGTAGCCTACTGTTGGAACTAGAAGATATCCATTGAGACAAATTGTATACTTTTTGTAATTTTTTTTAATATGTTTCTTTTGGTACCTAAAAGTAAAATAGAATTTCTTGGTGGGACTTTTGAAATAATTTTTTTTTTCTCCTTGCAATGGACAACAGCGAGAAAAGTCTCAAAGGTATTTGAGAGGTGTATAAATTCATTAAAAAATCATGCACAGCGTATTTACAATTAATATGGTTATAAAATCCTGCCTGTCTGGTTTTTTCGGACTTTACTAAAGATTGGATGTATTTGATGTTTATAATATTTTCGGTAACTAAATAAAAATAAAAAAAAAAGCAAAAACAATTTGGTTTTCACGTGTAATGGCGACATAAACATGGCATCCTGCTATTGGATAGGCTGCCATAGATTTTATTGTACACATTGTAAGCTAAAAATAGAAAACTAGGTCATGAGGTTTTAAATTTGCATTGTAATTTAAAAACTTGATCTGCAAAGTTTTGTAAACAAATAGTTATCGATTACTAAGTTACTGTACAGCCAATCAATATTTGTCTTACGAAAGTGAAACATCCGGTTATAACTTAGGCTTGATGAAAATAAATAGAAATGTAGCCTTAAACTCAACAAATTATTTTCAAGTTCTCTGGATTTGCAACTTTTATAGCATTTATTCTAAGAATATAAAATTTCTAAATTAATTTTAGGCTTAAGTTTTTATTTTTTATTTTTTTTTACGGTCTAAATCTAAAAAGCACGTTTTTATTCCATGACAACAACATTATGGAAGGAATCTCGTCAACTCGCTCGCCTCCATTAAAAATAAAGTGTATCTCGCATTATAAAGCTATATTCAATCATGGTTGGCGACGTAAAGGAAATTTTATACAAAATTTTAAATATTTTACTTATGGTTTAAGAAAATTGTTTACAAAAAATTTACAAATGTAATAAAAAATTTTCAAATTGATTTTTAGAAAAATTGTTGCCAGACATATATCTGTCACATTATATGCTGTATTATAATTAAACACATGTTACTACTTTTGTAAAAATTTGACAAATTTATGTCTGATAGTTTTTTGGTGAATATTTTTGTTTCTCTCCCTTAGTATCCCTTAGATACTGCCCCTTTAATGATTAAACTTGCGACGTCACAATAACTTGACCCACCACGACCATCTTTTTTACCTGAGTCATTGATCGAATACCAATCAATCTATAACCAATCAGCAATATGTAACCCATGTCTACATCTGTCCCCAGGCTTTCAAAATCTGTGTCGAGGGGGCGAGAGGCGCACGAGGTACAACACCATGGTATCACGAGCAGATTCGTTCCAGAGCTCCACCCACATCACCAAGGTCTGATCACACACGACCCCCGGGGCGTCGCTGGGTTTCTGACGGACCGACAAACGTTTGGGACGTTTGCCAGATAAGGAGACTTGTTGGACGTCAGTTGGCCAGCATCTCTTGTTGGACGTCTGTCAGACCAGCATCTCTTGTTGGATCTCTGTCAGACCAGCATCTCTTGTTGGATGTCTGTCAGACCAGCATCTCTTGTTGGACGTCTGTTGGCCAGCATCTCTTGTTGGACGTCTATCAGACTAGTATTCGTATTGGATGGTTGCCAGATAAGTAGAGCTGTTGGACGTCTATCCGCCCAACAGACAGGTTAGACGTCTGCCAGAAAGCAGACGATTTGGTCGTCTGCCTGACCAACATACGTGATGCCAGGTGTAGATACTTGATAGACGTCTGTCATGATGTATTGATATCTTGTATGAGCACAGCACGCTGCTGTATACAGATCCTACATTTTTCTACCGATTGAATTCCTACAAAGACACAGCCACAATGCGAGGGGCGGGGGTGTGGACGGTGCCGGGTGTCACCCCACCTAGTGACACCACTACCAAGACTACAGCATGTATGGTGTATCACAGAGTCCTGCGTCTGAATGTCCTACACCATAATGTCCTGCTGTGTGTCCTACACCACAGCCTCCTACATAAAGTGACCACTATGTCCTATTTAACCCACGTGCTGTACTGCTATGGTCAGTGTGTCCAACACACCATGGACAAAACGAACACACCTATGCCAGGTATAAATATATAAAAAACCTGGCCACTGACATTAATCACAAACTGGCATATCATAATGTTAGTAAATAAACTGGAATAACATACGGACAAAAATTACAAATTGTCATATATTGACCTGAAGTTTTAAAACTGGTATATCATTTGAACACAGGTAATTAAAAACTGTGCGTTTATTCTTGGTTTGTTTCGTTCGCTTTTCATTTTTTTAATGTAACATTTTACTGTTTTATTATTTGTAAAAATGTATTCATTATCTTGTAAAATATCGGATGTCAAGGCTGTTTTTTTTTTTTTACTGAATGAGAAAACTATCGACTGTTTACACTCAGTTTCCATGGTAACCTGATCAAAATAAAACAAAAATACGGTATTACATTTTTTTATCGTTACGCATATTAATTTCAACATGAATATAGCAGTATACAAATGTATAAATTTTAAAGTCAGAAAACAAGAGTACGTTTTATGGTTAAAGAAATGATGTTTAGAGCTTTATTTAAACAAGTAACCTGTTTAGCTAAAGTCGTAGTTGGTCGGGTTAAATAGGAACAGAATCTAAAATGGTAAAAAAAAAAGTAAACGTAATTTAGAAACTTTGGTTTAATTTAGCAAAAGAGAACCGTGTGGTTAGATTTATCCTGTGTTTATATTTTGAATATCCAGCCAAGCCTAATAAAACAGGTAAGCGAAAAGCAACATACCACTTTCAGACTCGGTGGAGTAAATGATGTAGACTTGTATGCACAGTTGTATGTAGAGTTGTATGTATAGTTGTCTGAGTTTTATGTATAGGATTTGAGTTGTATGTACAGTTGTTTGTACAGTTGTATGTATAGGTGTCTGACTTTTATGTAGAGTTGTATGAATTGTATGTATGCTTGTATGTAAAGTTGTATGTAGAGATGAATGTAGAGTTGTATGTACAGTTGTATGTACAGTTGTATGTACAGTTGTATGTATAGGTGTCTGACTTGTATGTAGAGGTGTATGTACAGTTGTATGTACAGTTGTATGTACAGTTGTATGTACAGTTGTATGTACAGTTGTATGTATAGGTGTCTGACTTGTATGTAGAGGTGTATGTACAGTTGTATGTACAGTTGTATGTACAGTTGTATGTACAGTTGTATGTATAGGTGTCTGACTTGTATGTAGAGCTGTATGGATTGTATGTACGGTTGTATGTAAAGTTGTATGTAGAGATGAATGTAGAGATGAATGTAGAGATGAATGTAGAGTTGTTTGAAGTACGTCTGCTTGTTTGTGTCCCCGGAGCTAAGCCAATTGCGATGCAACATCGTCTGTCATTCGTTGTCGCATGACAGACGTACAGCACATAAAACATCATACGGTTCATTACGTCCCCACCCTATTTATTCATACGTCTGATGCTTTGTGGGGCGTCGCTTCATTACATTTGATAGAACACGCAGCGCGTATCTAATATATTGTGTAAGATAAAATTAACAGGAGAGAAATTATTTAACTATGAAATCATGTCGTCCAGCATGTTTATGGGTGTGGTAGTTATGGGCATTTGTGGCAGGGGGGGGGGCATGATGGTGCTGAGGTGTCAGTAAAGATATATTGTGCCCTTGCTATAACTAAATGTGTGTTTATGGTTTCAAATACCCAATGGTGGAACTGAGAAGGGGGTGCAGTGGTGGTTATATAGAGAAGTGGAGATGAGGTTTAGAGTTACGCCTTTGATAAATTAACTCTCATAAATAAAACGGCTTAGTTCCACTCATTAATGATCTAGTGTGTGTATATGTGTGTTTGTGTAAATATGTTAAAAACTTAAACTCTTATATAAACAATAACAGATTCCTTAATGTGAAATTTTTAAATGGATGATACATTTTTGCTGAATTATTTTAAGAAATGGGTTGAATGTTTTTTAACCCTCTTGTGTTCATTAGCTAATTGGTCCTAATTTGCTGCATTTGTTTACAGTTCTTTGTTGAGTGGATGTTTTGTTTGAATGTTTTTAGAGTATTAATTGTGATGACTGTAGGATATATTAATAACATGTTTATATCGTGCATTATAAAGTATTTAAAATTATCTTATATATATATATATATATATATATATATATATATATATATATATATATATATATATATATATATATATATATATATATATAGGTCTATATATAGGTCTATATATATATACATATATATTGATATACATATATAATATATATAGGCCTATATATATATATATATATATATATATATATATATATATATATATATATATATATATATATATATATATATATATATATATATATATATATATATATATATATATATATATATATATATATATATATATATATATAATTTTTTCCAGGCGGGTACTTCTACCCCACCCCTTCCCCATCACCCCCCCCCCCCCCCATCTCACACACCCTTGGCCTAACGGTTGTACGCCTATTATGTAAACATTCATTCAATGTCTGTCCCCTGAACACGTTTTACTGGATATCTCAACCCTTGTGATTATTTCCCATTGTCTCAATTCATTCTCATGTGATACCGGTATGTTAAAAAACCATTTTGTTTTTTATGTTCATTGTTTCGCCTGTATGAAGAAATAATACAACTTTTCTGACCATATGCTTGCTCGTGTTGATTGGCTTTATATGTGTGAGTGAAGTCAAACTGACTTGAAGATGTATGTTGTGAGGTGAGTTCGTGTGTGAGTTTAGCCTTGCCGGTTTGTTGTTTCTATCTCAACATTCCACCAACATGATCAGCTGCATAATCAATAATCCGCATCGTAGATTTGAGAGTGAGATAATAGATCAGTGATAGGGATGTATAACAAGGGTCTAGGACATTAGCCTCCCATGTCAATTACCCCCCACCCATGAACACACCCATCCCACTGACATTAACCCCCGGAGTCATTACCCCCTGTCAACTCCCCCCCCCCCCCATTGGTAATTACTCCCTCCCCCCATGCTGAAGAACACTAACCCCCAAATCCCAACTATAAACCTATAGCTAACCCTATTCCCAACATCAATCCTTACCCAAACTCTAAACCTACATCTAACCCTGACCTAACACTAGCCCTTACCCTAACTTATCCCTAACTGGGCGGGGTAATTGACAGGGGGATAATTGCTCCAGGTGGTAATGTATTGGTGGGGGGGGGAGGTAACTGATGGGGCGGAGGGTGTAATGTCCTGCTCCCGTATAAAAAGCTACAAAAAACCAGTTTGTGATTATCTTTAGAAGAAGTACTTCCAGTAAATATAACGTAACATTAAAGAGACAGCTACGAAATGGGCCTTGTATTAATTTCAAAGAACATACGCCTATAGTGGTTAACTCAAGTTACTTTGAAAAGGTACATACGACATTCATAAATATAGTTGCTTGAGAAATTAAAAAAATTGGAGACACCAAAAGGTTGTTTACCGTAGCACTAGCTACACTACAAATAGGGATTCCATGACATTAATTACTAAATCACCAGACAATAATATTAATTACCAGGCAATAATTAACTACCGGACAATGTAATGTCATTAATTACCGGGCAGCTGTGTGATTCTCTCCATGCATCAAAGCAAGAGTCCGCGGCAAACTTAATAAATACAGCCAGGTTTATTTTCTCTTACCCCCCCCCCCACCCCAATCGCCTCGCCCCACCCCCAGTAGCACCAGATGTAGCCACGTGAGTGACACTCGATGATGGGGTATGGGTGACGACATCAGTGATACAACCCCGATGATTGGATGTGGATGATTGGCTTGTCAACTACAGAACAAATGGCCTATACACCACTTTCGTGGGAAAATGCTGGCTTCATTTAGCGGACGATGCCTACCCCCATCCTTAGGATAATGGTAAAGAGCAGAGGCATAGCGAGGGGGGCGGGGGTGCGGAACGCACCGGGTGACAAAATTTAGGGGGGTGACACCAAGGCAAAAATGAGCGAAATATATAGAGAAAATTTGAGGGGGGGGGGGGTGCAAATAGAAAATTTGAAAGTTTGTCCCCGGGAAGGGTCGATACGCCTCTCGGGGGTGACACCATTAAGTGCCGCACCGGGTGACACCCGTCCTCGCTACGCCACTGGTAAAGAGCATATATAGATATATATATATATATATATATATATATATATATATATAGGCCTATATTATAATGCTGCAAACCTGAAAATAACTGCATGTATTTATTATTTGTTACTATTAAATAGCTTCCCAGCTGCGAATAGATCGATACATTGACAGTAGAATAAACCTTCTAAAAATTAGATTTATTTCATTTATCCAGTGTGTAACAGTAATCACATTGTTGGGGGGCAGATTGAAAGATACTGGAAGCGAACATACGATTGCTATTGATTTCAACAAAAAAAAAATATAAAAACTTTTATATTGATAAAGAATGTAAGTGCAATAGTTGTTTCTACTACCCATGATTTCTTTTATTTTAAGAATACAGAAAATAGATAATTTAAATGGTCACATTAAAAACTTTTAGTGGGAGCAATCTCGGAATGGTCGAAGGGAAATAACAATTATTATACTTTAACACAACAGTTGAAAGTAATAACGTAATAACCTCCCTTACTTTTTTTACAATAAAATAATTTCTACCTCGGGTAGAGGTACAATAATGGCTATTTATTTGTATATTAAACTGCGAACATCTTTTGTGAACAAAATAATAATATACTATCATTTTAAAATAGTTTGTTTTATCATTTTTCATTACGCATAGCTTATTTTACTACTAGATGGATTGGCAATTAGATCTACTAACATTTCTCTACTAAATGTTTTTTAAATAATCCTGTAATCAATGTATAAAATAATTTTTCCCCCATTGAAACATCATTACTTACATTTAACTAAAAGGAGTGCGATACTAAACTTACAAAGCAAAAAAAAACATGTTAACTATTAACGGTAAGCTTGATGGGCACGTTGAGTGCCGTATAATTTTATTGCACTTGTTACAAGACCTTTTACTATCTATAACTCGTACTTACTCTAACAGGGTGTCCTATTATTTAGTCATGAACAAAAGGTATTTTCTTATTGTATTTCAAATGGTTAACACAAGAAGTCTTGAAAGGTCCATTAAATCTTTTAAAAAATAAATTGCGTTTTAAAAACTTTACTTTGTGGTTTTTGTCAATTTCAAAATAGTGAATGTATTGTGAATTTTCGGTAACTGAACAAAAAAAATTTAAATCCAAAAACAATTTAATATCTTTAGTCATCACTGAATAAACATGGCATAAATAGATCATGTGGTTTAAAAAGTTTTTTTTTATTTCATCTGCACTACAAAGGGGTTTACAGAAGATAGATTACTGGGTTTTTGTAAAGCCATTCAATGTTTGCATTACAAAGTGAAACCTCTAGAATTATAATACAACTTCCATAACAATTAATATAGATTCTTAAAATATTAAATTTCCAACTTTTTTCAGGACCTAGTTTTTATTTTTTGGCAGCTATGAACTTAATGAAAGAAGGATTCACAAAAACACGAATTTATCATGTCAACAATAATGATGGCAGGATTTTCATGAACTGGTCTGTCCTTTTCAAAGTTCATTTGCATTCGTAAAATATAAAATATAGACCTAGATTTAAGTAGCAGACACTGGAAGGGAGGTTGGCATGGGCTCATACTTAACTTTGTGTATGCTAAGATACAGTAAATAGGAGCTACCATATCTAAAAATGAATGAAACAAGGGGTCCAATCTGTAACATTTTATGTTTAATTTGACAATGTTTACATCTTGTTTGTGTATGTTCACTACAAATGGAGAATCATGCAGGGCATCTTATCACTGACCAAAACAAAACGTTACACAAAATAAATATGGTTGGCTACTGTGTGGCATGTCATAGCTCCAGTATTCATGGACTAGCTTTTCAACAAATCTGCATGGCAACACATTCTTCTCCATGTTTCAGCAGGCTTAACTTAGTTCAACTCAACTAAAGCCTGGTATAAAAAGATTTTTCAGGGTGTGATTCATACAAACACTTGCATGGCACCAATGGCATACAGAATTATAAAGAAGCAAATATTGGGAGGAAAACTAACTAAACATTAATACAGTTGGACTGTGAATGGTACTGCCACAAAGTTACATTTTTACATGACAGAAAGGCATTAGTTTAGTACTGTTATGAACACAATATCACCACCAGACTGGCTTCTTTGTGCTTTTTTTTTCTAATTTAAAAATGGTGACATTAATGAAAAATAAAATTTAAAATGCATTAAAAATATAGTTGTGTAAGAATTCTTTCAGTGAGATGAACCTAAGATTGTCAAAAATATTGTGAGAAATCTTAATGTCACCATTAGTTAATAGAATCACTCCTGTAAATAAGCACGATAACTATCATAATTTTTTTTCTAAACAACAGCATAATAATATACATATAAAATAAAATGAACAATGGCATATGATGTTTGTATAAATGAAGCTATTTAAAAAGTTCATACAAAAACAACCTTGTTTAAATTTTTGTTCAGGTTCTAATTATCTTCATTAAAAAAAAAAAGATAAAAACAATCAATTATTGCAATGACATTACCAGCTTTTAACATCAAAAAGACTCATTCTCACTAATGACTTCCACAACAAAAAGGGCTTTAAACAACATACATTCCTCTGACATACTAAACCATGGAAAAATAAACTACAACTGGTTTGAAAATAGATTTAATTAATAAAACCAACCTAATTTACATACTGAATGTGTTTTAGAACTGAGTGATAGTGAGAAAGAAAAATTGTTGGTTGCTGTTAAGACAAGTGGAGTTTCACATGCCAATCAACTAAAGAATCAAAGGTATCCTATGTTTCAGATGTGTTGAATGACGCAACAATCAGATTTACAGGAAATAGTCAGGGGTTCTTCTTGTTACATGTGGCTCGCCTCTTCTTGGAGCAGGGTCAAATTGTAAACTGGAACAAAGGTTACAATTAATTCACTCATCAAACATTGAATTTTAACTCATTCATAGCCAACCGCTTTTTTCTTTAATAAACAAATAAAAAGTAACTTACAATGAATATTTGAGAGCATCATCTAACTCCATGATTGCTGCTTGGTTACCACAACGGTAGCAGTAGTTAGGTGCACTAAATATTGTCACTACATTTCTGTCGTGACACCAGTTGTAACCCTATATCAAATAGACAAAACTCTCTTCAACAAAAGTTCTTTTATAAAATAAAAGGCCTAAGTTACCACCACATATGGAAGTATTAAACACACTGTACCTCCATGACGAGTTGATGTGCCCTAGAGACTAGAGTGAGCCCGTTACTGTGATTAAAGGTCTCAGAGATATCCTGACCAAAAGTGTATCCAGCACCACGAGGAGATATCCCCCAGCCACCTCTGTCGTCTGGATCAGACCACAACAGATCACACATTGGTCCCTGGAACAATCAAGTATGGGCATTTAATAATCAGAAATGCTACAAAATTACACATCCATCTTCAAGTGCAATAACTACCAATAGCCAAACAAAACCAAATTTAATATAATGGATAATGAAAACAATGATTAATCTTTTACATTGTAATGAAACTTGAGTTCACGTATCACTAAATAAATTATACAAGTATTCAATTGACAGCCTGCACCATTATAATACATTATACACAAAATTGTTCTTATTTAAACGTGAACAAAGTAAAGTAGTTGGACGGACTTTTGATTCATTAGCAAATTTTTTTTATGCTTACAACTATTAGGTTAGATATATTTAAATCATACCTCATGGGGAACTTCTTGAATTCTATCTAACGCTCTAATATGATCTAAAGTATCTATAGATGGTGACAGACCTCCGTGTAAGCAGAATATCTGTAAAAGAAATGAAATCTTACAAGTACTTGTGTAATAAGATAATGTCAGAATCTAAGATACCCAAGAGACTTGTTGAATTAAAAAACAGTGCTTGATATTACCAGGTTTTTGAGGGAAAATTAAAGCAGTTTTAAAACATTATTTTATAAATCACCGGCAACACTAATCTTTCACCTCATTTATAACTACCTCCAAACATGTCAAAAACAAGATGGTGTTTTTATCTGGTAGAAACATGTTTTGAATATTCAAATTAAAAAAAGGAAAATTTTTTAACTTGGCAATAGAAAATTATTTTTTATTTTACAGCAAGAATTAAAGTCATGACTTACCTGGCCATCCACTAATGCAGTTAGTGGTAGATAATCAAATAAATCTGTGAAGTATTTCCATACATTTGCATTGCCATATTTGCGAAGACATTCATCATAAAATCCATAGACTTGTGTAATTTGACGGCTTTCATGGTTTCCTCTCAGAATAGTTATTCTATCCTTAAATCGAACCTACACATATAGAACAAAATACAGTACTAAAATCACAATGCATAAACAAAACAAACATGCTTTACATTATTTCAGCAAATTATGTTATATTTTAATTAGGAAGTAATTAACAAATATTCAAAATGGCTTACCTTAAGAGTAACTAGCAAAGATACAGTTTCTACAGAATAATAACCCCTATCAACATAGTCGCCCATAAATAAGTAATTTGTGTCGGGAGATTTCCCTCCAATTCTGAAAAGCTCCATGAGATCATGAAACTGGCCATGGACATCCCCACACACAGTCACGGGACATTTTACTTCTTGTACATTAGATTCTTTGGAAAGAATCTCTTTAGCCTAGACACAAAATTATAAAAGTAATAAGATAATTGACAATGAAATGCACTACTTAGTAGTTTTAAAAATGGCTAAAAAGAAAAATTTCAGTACAGCTTACCTTTTCACATAGTGTCTTGACTTGATTTTCTGACAACTGTTTGCAATCATTGAGCTGTTCAATCCATTGGTCCAGCTCCTTGGCTGATGCCCTATCCTCTATAAAACTCATCCTAAGAAAACAAAGTAAAATAGTAAAATAATATATTGATGAAACAAAAGAAGATTTTAGGAGTTATGCAATTGATCTTCAAAATAATAATGTGATTCCCTATATTGCCTAATATTTCAAAGATTCTACTACAAGAGATTTGACACAATTATTAAATTGGATTTGAATGGATATAAAAAGCAAACATAGAACACCTTTATAAAAGTCCTAAAACCATCATATGTATAGGTTTTATTGCCAGCTTGTACTCCAATTTTTTTATGAATTATAGCGTATTGTAAAAAGAGGCTACTTTTTAAAAAATATTTAAACATTAACATGTGTATATTAAACACCAGGTGGCATGAGAAATTGACCAACATGAAACAACGAGGGAAAACCAGGCAAAATAATTGTCGAAAAGATTGATTTTGGCATAGATAGAATTGCCAGATAACTCCCAAGCAAGAACAAAAAAATTAAGTCCACTGGAGAGTTGTGGATGCATTCTTATACTATGTTACAAAGTGGTTTACATGATTGAAGAATACAAGCAAGCTGCTATTTTTTTTCACATTTTTTTTTAAACTCCATGCCTTAAAAAATAGTAATAAAAATCATTATGCCAAAATAGCTTCTTGGTTTTATAGGCCCTACTCTAAACAAAAACTTGTAGATCTGGTACTCAAAGTATCTGATATTGGGTAAAAAATCAATACTGAAACCCTAGATTTTAAAATCTCTAGATCTGCCTAACCTTAGCCACTAAATCTGCCCAATTGTAGGCCAAAAATAGTGCTACTGTTGTCCAGTTTACTCTTTGTATAACCGGGTTTATGTATGTTCAATAAGAGACTTCCAAAAATAGGTGTGTTGGGAAGGTTGTTGGTAGTATTTACAATCTTAAGTCCAGTATTATTCAGGTTAGGTGTACTGTAGGACTAGGGTCGGGTTATGCATTGACATTATCAGTTTATCACTCCGTATTAGCCTTAAAAAACTGTTTTTTTTTTTTTAATTTCTGGGCTTTTGTCTGGATAATACACAAATTAGGCCTATAGCTACTTCTTAGACATTCGTCTGCTTATTATTTATTCTATTACCACACTTAAGCTAACCAAATCTGTAGTTTTAATTAACTGGTTCAATATGATATAAATGGCAATTTATCTTAGGCCTGAAAGTAAATTTCGAGCAGAAAAACTATAAAACATATCTTGAATCTTTGAATTTATTGTAAAGACTTGACTAGAGTAGAGACTCAGTAGAAGTGTAGATGTAGGTCTAGATCTAGTTAATTTATAGTTTAGTAGGTAAGATTGGCCTAACTAAGGTTTTTTATTATAGATCTAGATCGATTTATTAGAGCTAGAGTCTAGCTAGATCTAGAAATCTAGATCTAGGAGTCAGGAGTTAAGTAAGAGTTAGTCTTTAGTTAATAGTTAGGCCGATTCTAGTCGGAATAAGATACGCATGCGCAATGGAGAGAAACTACGACTTAGCGGCCATGTTTTCGATGGTACTGCGCATGCGTGTGTTTACAACCGCAGAACCCTAATACCAACCCTAATCCTATCCTTAACCCTATCCCTAACCCTAATCCTACCCCTAACCCTCATTCTAGCCCTAACCCTAGCCATAGGTCACTGCACATGCGCAGAACTATCTTTTGCCGAAAAATCTTATTCCGAGTAGACACTTCGTAATAGTTAATAGAGTAAATCTGGATTCTAGATAATACTAGAAATCTAGCTAGATATTTAGGTAGATATTATCCTAGGACCTAGCTAGGACTATACCTAGTCTGCTTTAAACTAGCAAACTCTTATTCTTTAAATACAGTTTCTAGATCTCTAAATCTTAATTTTTATAAACTCTCTAAGACAGGAGAGGATTGACTCTCGGATTGAGGATGTGCCTGGATTCTCTTGCTGCCAGTCTAGTTTCTAGAAATCTAGAATCTATGTGTAGATTCTAGATCTAAATCTTAAATGATCAAAAATAAAACATTGCACAGAGTATATTAATCTGCTGCACATAGATTTTCATTTCACCTTTGTTATTGTACAGATCTGTAAGAAGATCAGAATCTCTAGAAAATTTTAACGCTGCACTAGATCTAGGAAAGAATCGTGAGACAAAATGGCCTCCAGGACAACTGAGTTTTTAAATAACATAAGAGAAGGGTCGATGTGAGATTATTTGATTAATTGCAAGCTTTTTCAGCTTATTGATTTAGAGTGTCAATAATACATAATCAAAATACAACAACTCTTCTATAAAACTAATGTAAAAATATATAAATACATTCATTTGTTAGTGATTTATCTAAGCCCAAACGAATTCCTTACCTCTGGTGCAGACAAGTTTAGAAATACAAAAAAGAGCGACCCCTGGCGGTGTCGATATGATGTCATTTGTCCGAATTCCGAAATTTAAAACAATAACGGAACTAAAATAGTTTAGATAGGCCTAAAATGCCTAGATCTATATCCCCCCAAAAAAGTGATTTTCTAGATCTAGAATCTATATCCTAAATCTAGATTTCGATTCTAGAACTAAGCGTTTTATAAAAAAAATTATTGTTCGATTTTAAAATTATTGTTTTTTGTTAGAATATTTGCAACATATTATTTAATAAACTCTAGTCTTATAGGCTTAATAATTTATTCTTTAAGCTTTAATATAAGAATAAATGAATATAGACTACATCTATCCATGAGAAGGATCTAGGCCCTTGAGGAAAAAAGAAATAACTATATTAAATTTGCCGAAAACATCGCTGATCACTATTTTGATAATGAATATTTTAGTTAATCTGGGTCAAAGCTAGAAACACTGATAAAGCTCAAATTACTTTTACAAAGAACTTTTTTTTTTCTTAAAAAGAAATATACTAAAATTCAGTTTAGAAATAACTTTTGAATGCAAAAGTGTAACGGCACCTTTCTAACCGCAAAAACTCTAATACAGTTCCACCCCCCCCCCCCCCCCACCACCCAACTGGCGTCATTTATAGATCAGTGTTTCTTCCAGACCTTTTTCTCCGGGGGGGGGGGGGGGAGAGAAAGCGGACACTGTTAAAAGTATATATTTTCTATATAAATTCCATTTCGTTCGGGGGGGGGGGGGCGGGGGGGGGGGTAGACTTTCTTCAGAGCCCCCCCCCCCCCCCCCCAAGAGATGTCTGGAAGAAACTCTGTTTATAGACGATCCCCTTCAGCTTAAGACGACACAAACAATGCGATAAAGGTTTTGGAGTAAATCGAACATTCTAGTACTTATTCGTGAAAAATCTTCTACCTAATTAAAATTATTCAAATGAAAATAAATTGAAGTACCACTTTCGCCTTTCGGAAATCGTTTAAAAATTCAGAGAAACCTGCTAATACGAATAATACTTAATATGTGAAATTTCGTTAATCTAACTGAAATGGTACTCAAGTTATCGTGTTTACAAACACTACACACAGAGGCATACAAACAAGATTGCAAAATTGGATTTTTACGACTCAAAGTAGTGTAAAACGTCGAGAAAATCTCGATGTCGATTTTCTACATGATTACACTACTTTTCTGTAGCCTATCCCGTATACGAGAAAATAAAAAAGAGTAGGTCATTTTAAAATTAGGTTGTGATGAATAAAGACAACAATCATATTGATCATAATTAACATTATTTTGAAAAAAAGGTTTTTCAGATAAATTGTTCACCTGCAGAGTTTGTTTCATGCATCTCTTGGGGGGGGGGGGGGGCTTGGTGGGGGGGGGGGGGGCGGCTCATAGAATAATCTCACACTCAAACATATATTTAAAAAATTAAGTAAGTAAATGTTTGAGTACCTGGAGACCCGATTTTTTTCAACTTTGTTTTTGTAGGAGAAAAAAGTACTCGGAAAATAACTCTGTACCATCGATTTCAGGTCCATATAAGTGATGGATGCTTCCAATCAGATTCGTCTTCTTCGACTGTGATTTATTTAGAATGGATCGATATTTTCATACGGATCGCGCATGTCACTTCACATCTGCTTCATTAAGGAGCATGATTTGATCTTATAGCCCATGTCGCCCTGTGGTCCATTTGAAGAAGATGGAATTGTCCAGAACCTGAGAGTCACTAGAGTGGATGAGCTTCTCACCGGATAGATGGTTTTCCTGGGTCACCACGGCACTTTAGTATTAAGACGCAGAGGCGTAAGCAGAGGCGTAGCGAGAGGGGGGAGGTAGGTACATATGACGCAGACTCTAGGGGCGCCAAAATTGGTTTGAAAAAAAAAGATTTAAAGCTCATTTTAGCTGCAGTTTTGCATTATAAAAATAAAAAATATAGGGGGGGGGGGCGCCAAATTAAAAGTTTGCCCTCGGCGCCGAGAGGGGTAGCTACGCCTCTGGGTGTGAGAGCAGGTCATTCCACATCCTATCTGGTGCAGCTGCGGTGTGAGAGCGCTAGAGAGCCGGGCAGCAATTTGATGAAGAATAGGAAGAAGCTGTGAGGAATGAAACAAACTTATGTCGATGATACTGGTTATTGTTACCTTGGCTATGTCTGACTTTCCGAGGACTTCGTTAAAATGGCGGAGATGTAGAATGTGTTGCTGGCAACTTATATGGACTTAAATTACCTTGTGACTTCCTTGTGGCCATGAAGGCGAAGTTCGATTCAATCCTGGGTTGCAGAACCTATTGAATTAACCCCCATGTGCGACTAAGTACCTGAGTGGGAAGATCATTCTTGAAACTTTTGAGTGTGTGTGTGGGGGGGGGGGGGGGCATTTAAATTTCCGGAGGGGGGGGGGGGGGAGAACACTGGTGAAAGCATACAATTGTTTATAAATTACAAATATATTTTATAAATAGGCCTATCTATCTATCTATATAATTCTCTTCTGTGAGACGCTAGAAAACAAGCTGTAAGCGCGCTCCCTACCACCCCCACCCCTACATGGTCTGGTGAGCTGTGGTTCATGCTAAATGTTTACAAGCAGAGCCGGGTTTAGTGACGACTATTAGGGGCAGATAATTTAGTTTGAAACAATTTTAAACGTAGGGGGGGGGGGGGGTAACTAAGTGGAGTTTACTTTAACGGAGGGGGAAAGGAGAGGGGGGGGGGTTATCTTCCTTAACGAGCTACTTATAGTGTTTTAAAGAAATATTTTCAGTTGGTACTGTCGAATTCACAAATTATGAATTTCCGAAAAGTAGAAAATAAAACAACTAAATAGCGGCGTATGATATGCCGCGGGTCGGCTCGTATATTTTATTCCGTTCGCGTGAATGTGTGTGAAGACTGCCTATTATTTTAGTATGATCTACATCGTCACAGCTTAATTATTATTTATTAGGTCGTATCTAAGGAAGTGTTGGTCATTACCAGTGGCGTAGCGAGGTCGGGTGTCACCCGGTTCGGCACTTAATGGTGTCACCCCCCCCCCCCCCAGAGGCGTTGCAACCCTTCCCGGGGACAAACTTTCAAGTTTTCGATTTGCACCCCCCCCCCCTCAAACTTTCGAATTGCACCCTCCCCTCAAGTTTTCGATTTGCACCCCCCTCAAACTTTCGATTTGCACCCCCCCCCTTCAAGTTTTTCTCTATATATTTTGCTATTTTTTGCCTTGGTGTCACGCCCCTAAATGGTGTCACCCGGTGCGGTCCGCACCCCCGCCCCCCCCCCCCCTTCGCTACGCCCCTGCTCATTACTATATAGAGACATGCATTGCTCCTGTAAAAAAAACAACACTTCTTAAAATTCAGATAACAGCAAGTGTCCATTTACGACCTCTTGTGTGGTCAAATGTACTTTCGATAACGAGGCTAAGAGCTCGTTATAATATTGGTAACTCATTACGGAAAGGTCGTCCATAGACAATGCCACACACGTTGGTTAAGAGAGAAAGGGGGGGGTGGGGGTGGCGGGCAGAAATTGTGACGGCGCACTTTGCACAAGTAATGTTGGTAACTGGAAATTGAATTGTAGCCTCCTTTCGCGTTTTTAACATACATGATTTGTAAATTGCAATAAAATTCCTTAGTATAACCTACTGTTTTGATCGATCTATGTCCGCTACATTAATGTTTCTTTCAGACAGTGTTTCTTCCAGGGTGGTGGAGGGGGGGGGCAGGTAAAAGTATATATTTTCTATATAGATTCCATTTCGTACGTTCAGGGGGGGGGGGGGGCGTTAGAAGAGATGCCTGGGAGAAACTCTGGCTGGGCTACATAGGGCTACATACAGTGTTTCCTCCAGACTTCCCCCCCCCCCCGGGGGAGGGGTGGGGCACTTGAAATTTTCGGGGGGGGGGGGGAGCGGTAGACTTTCTTCGGGGGTCGGACACTGTTAAAAGTATATATTTTCTATATACATTTCATTTCGTTCGGGGGGGGGGGGGGGGCAGAGGACTAGCGATGGGGGGAGGGGGCAGGGGGTACATATGTCCCCGGGCGCCGACCTTAGGGGGTGCCAAAATGGGTTGTAAAAACAAATTAAAATGTCATTTTAGCTGCATTTTTGAATTATAAACAGTTTGAGGGGGGGGGGGGTGCAAATCGACTTTGCTCCCGAGGGGGGGGGGGCGCTAAATTTAAAGTTTGTCCCCGGGCGCAGGGAAGGGTCGCTACGCCTCTAGGGGGGGGGGGGCGGTAGACATTAAACGTAATCCCGATCCGTATATCTAGGCAGGGCCTAGGATATTTTTTTTAGTGTCGTAGGCTAGTGCCGCTTTATGGTTAGGCCTACAGTTCCAAGAAAAAGTTTAGATGTCATAAAACAAACATTTTACATTCTTAAACTCTTTATTTACAATGTATAAAACATTATACCATTAGGTTTTATAATGGAAATAGTGTTTCCGTCATATATGGACGACTCTCTTGCGACTTCTGTCCAGTTGGATTTAATATTGATACATGTATGTACCAAGGGATATGATTAAACAAAAAAACATTTAGTGAAGGATAGACCCCTAATTATTCATTCTAATAAACCGGTAGTGATCTCCCCTAAACTTTCTCGAATATTCTTATATAAAACAACAGGGGATGGTAACTGGGGATATAGTTATGATTTTTAATCCATTTTAAATACTTAAACTTTTAAAAATAGAATAGAATCTCATAAAAAAAACATTGCGCACCAAGCAAACGCCGAATAAAAATGCGTATAATAGTGCGCAATATTATTAGTACTTTAAAAATTTACATTAGTTTTTTGAGAAATCGGAAGTAGCGTAAATTACTACTTCCAGTCAACGGAAATTACTCAAAATGTAACAGAAGGTAGACAATTAGATGTTTTACTTGCATGTGAAATTTCATGTATCTATCTGAAATAGTACTCAAGTTATAGGCTTTTGAAAAATTCAAAGTAGAAAAAGTACCACTTCCGGTTAGCGGAAATCGCTCAAAAGTTGATACGGATCTACGATTTCGATAAAATACTTATATATGAAATTTCATCAACCTCGCTGTAACGGTACTCAAGTTATCGTGTTTACACACGGACAGACACACAGACACACACACACACAGACATACGGACAGAATTGCAAAGCCCGGTTTTTCAGACTGGATTACGCATAAAACCTCTTAGTTTTGATAAATCTGGATTGATAATTTTTGCCCGATTAAAATAAGTCCTCTAAACTTCGGATGTGATGAAGGACTGAGGTGTAATACGGTGAAAATTGTTAAAATTTCAAGTGATTTTTGTGCACGATTACAATACTTTCTCTATACTTCGTATATACGAGAAAGTAAAAATACTAAATATTGATCCTTTTACTTTTAACAGTAAAAACTGGTTTATTCAGTTTTTTGTTTCGCTACTATAAGGGCAACACTGAAATACAGCTTTTAGAGTTTCTCGCACCGAAGCATCCTTTTCCGGTGTAGATATACCGTGTAATGGATGAGGAATAAATTGGCCTCTACATATCCATATAAATCGTGGTAAAACTAGAAGAATTTAAGAATGTCGCAAGAACAGATGACTTTGAGAGGCACCCTCCAAGGCCACGGTGGATGGGTTACCCAGATTGCTACCAATCCTCAATATCCAGATACTATTTTGTCAGCATCAAGAGGTATAGTTTTAGATTTGTTTACAATTTTCTGTGAGCTGGTTTAATTCGCGTTGTACTTGATTTTATTTTGTTAACAAAGGAATATTGTTTTTAACTGTTTATAGATCTATACATAGATCTATATCTACTTACTCTTAAAATTCTGCCTTTAAGATAAGTCATATTTGGTAACTTGTCAGAATTGTTGTCAGTCCAACTGAAAAGAAAGATCAGACCTGTTCTTTCCCATTACCCAGACTTCCACCAAGCTCTAAAGTCATTGGACTCTCGATCTCTAGATCTAAAATAGATTCACCTATAACTCTGTGATAGGTTTCTTACATGCAATGCAATTTACTTTCATTTAGTAAAACTTATCTTCTTTAAATTAATTTAAACTAATTTTTTTGGCCGATGCTAGCCGGAATAAGATGAGCATGCGCAATGGAGAGAAACTACGACTTGCCATCGCGGCGATGTTTTCTATCGTACTGCGCATGCGTGTGTTTACAACTGCAGAACCCTAACACGGCTAACACCAACCCTAATTCTAACCCTAGCCATAGGTCATTGCGCATGCTCAGAGCTATCTTTTGCCGAGTAAGTGGAGACGTTGAAAAGAAAAATCTTCTTCCGAGTAGTCACTTAGTTTTTTTTTTTTGCTGGAATCTGCAGCCTGATAGGCAACATTACTTTCTGACAGTAACATTGATAGACAAGAATAATGGTAAAATACAAATGTCTATTTCAGTATTTGACCAAGATACAAACTCCTCAATATGCCAGGATAAATGTCCAGAAATTTTAATGTTAATGTCTCTAATTTTCAGATAAAAGTCTCATTCTGTGGAAACTTACAAGAGATGAAACTAACTATGGTGTTCCTTACAAATCTCTTCATGGTCATGGACACTTTGTCAGTGATGTTGTTTTGTCATCTGATGGTCAGTTTGCTCTGTCCTCTTCATGGGATAAAACTCTGCGCCTTTGGGATCTAGTCGAGTGAGTTATTCTCATTGATTTTTAGATACCAAGCATAATCAAGTTTAGCAGGTCTGATATTTGTATGACAGTTAATGCATGTCTTTGTTTTATCTGTACACTTTTTAGAGGTAAGACCACCCGCCGTTTTGTTGGACATGAGAAAGATGTTTTGAGTGTAGCATTTTCTGCTGACAACAGACAGATTGTGTCAGCTTCTCGTGATAAAAGCATTAAGCTGTGGAATACCCTTGGTGTCTGCAAGTACACTGTGCAGGTATTGCTACTTTTGTTTATTGCTCAGCTGTTAAATCAATTTAAATGTCTTGATTTTTGAAAATTAGTAACTTTTCTTTTTAAAACTCCAGGAAGACACCCACAAAGACTGGGTCTCATGTGTCAGATTCTCTCCCAATGCTTCAAACCCAATCATTGTCTCATGTGGCTGGGATAAAGTAGTTAAGGTTTGTAATTTAAAATTCATTTTATTATAGTGCTTTTTGTTGTTGCCTAATGATTATGAGATTGACATAAAAAATTTGATGAAAGTTGTTCTGCAATTATGAAGGCACAATTATGAGGTTCATATTTTTTTTTTGAGATAGGTAATTATCTGGTTTCTATATTAGCTTATAATTTATACTGATGCTGAAAATGTTTTTGAATGGTCTGATATTTTTTTGTATCGTTTTCTATTTTATGGAAATGCACTATTTAAATGTATATTTTTAACTTGGTTTTTCAATACTTTCTGTAAAATTATTTTAGAATGCTCAATCATGATGTCCATTTTGAGTAATAGTGCTTATGCCAGATACTTTATTAACATTATGTAATTAGCTACAACAATTTATCAATGATATCCAAAAAAATGATTATGTAATTTCTTTGATCTAAATATTAGGTTTACTCAAAATTGTTTTAGACCAACCCATCCTTCCCACACCTTTCTTGCTTTTATACATTCTTCTTTGCCCCCCCTCAATAGATAAATATTCCCCATTTATTTTTGTGATTAAAGCTAAGATCTATTTATATATCTTGTTTTTTAGGTGTGGAACTTGACTAACTGCAAGCTGAAGACCAACCACTATGGTCACACTCAGTTCTTGAACTGTGTGACTGTGTCTCCTGATGGCTCTCTCTGTGCTTCTGGTGGCAAGGTTAGTACTGGTCATTTTATTTTTTTCATGTTTAGCCTAATGATTACACTTGTGACTTACTTCAAGATGATGATATAAGTGTTCTGCAATTATGAAGGCTCTGTTGTATTATCATCTTATATTTAAAGATCTAGCTAAGCAGTGTAGTAACCCATACTTTTTTTCAAGGATGGCCAAGCTATGTTGTGGGATTTGAATGAGGGCAAACATCTGTACACTTTGGATGGTGGTGATTGTATCAATGCTATGTGCTTTTCACCTAATCGTTATTGGCTATGTGCTGCTACTGGGCCAAGTATCAAGATTTGGGTATGAATTTTTTAATTTAAAACATTTTTCACCATGCATCTTTCTGCGGTGTCCTTTTATAGAGGTATGCTTTCATAAAGGTGCTAAAATGATTGGAGATAATTATGTTGTTTGTTAATATAAAACAACAAAAGAAATTAACATTTCCAAACATTTTAAGCTTATTATAATTCAAGATGTCATTCTAAGAATTTTATGTGCATTTTATTTACTAAAATACTGCTTGCTAGTATTCTCTGTTGAAATGACTTCAGTTTCGATGTGCTAACAAATGTATTTTTTTCTCAAGGATCTGGAAGGCAAAGTGATTGTTGATGAGCTGAAGCCAGATGTTATGGCAGCAGGTGCTGGTCGTGAACCTCCTCAGTGTCTGTCTCTGGCCTGGTCATCTGATGGACAAACTCTGTTTGCTGGATACAGTGACAAACTAATTAGAGTATGGCAAGTGTCCATGGCTGCTAGATAAATGCAGTTTCCAGAATTGGTTTATCGATTTAACAATAAAGATTATTGTAAGCTTTAAGTTCGTTGCTGACTTTTGGCTGGTGTGTGAGTGGTATTCTTAACATTCTCTTGATGAAGGCCTTTCAACTACACTGTTCTCCAGGCTTTTCACAATTTTCATTTTAAGCATTAGATGAATTGTCTGTATTTGAATTCTGTGGTTAAGAAAAAGTGAGCGCCCTTAGAAACATGAGTTTGTCAGAGTTGGCAGCCTGTTTCCGTGACTGAAGTATTTCAGGATCAATATTATTTTAGACTGCAGTTATTAAAGAGAACGGTTGGTCTGCAAAGATATTAACAGAAGCATAGAAAGGTTTTATAGACTGATTCTGAATGAAGACTTGCAATAAAATTAAGTAGAATGTCCTTGGAACAATTATGTAGTTCCAGGCAGGACAATCAGCTGGTAGTGTCTACTTTAATAAATGGTGGTTTGCAGATTTATTTCTGGGGTTACACAATTCTTAACCCTATAATTAGTGTAGTAAATAATTTCGATTGGTAATGGCTTTATGTGCACATGGTTTAGAACCCAGTTACTTTAAGCATGGCTTGAAAAAGTGACTCCTAATACTGCCAATTGAAACAAGCCAGATAGGAGTCATGCTAATTCAAAATTCAAGTCGGTGATTCTTCAGGCCAATGCCCATATGAGGTAATCCCAGCAAAATAATAACGTAAACAAACTTCCACTGTAGATCATTTTGTGCTATAATTATTACTGCGCAGAGCTCATTGTTTTTATCTTGAAATGTTAGAATTGATGCATTCAAAAGGAGCTATGTTCATAGACGTCATTTACAATTCTAACAATTAAGATCAGTTTAATTGAACACAATTTCTAATAGTTCTGGCAGCACATAAATGATATGAAAGTAGTTGCAGCTTTTTACTTTGCATTTAGCCTTATTGCCAACCCTTTCCATGACGGATCAAAGGTAATTATTAACTAGGAAAGTTTTCCCTGATGTGTAGATGTGTAATATCTTGCCAATGAAATCTGCTGTGGTCTGCACAATCTGACTTCACACTTAAATGAAGTAATAAAAATAGGTAGATGTAACATGTTGTTTTATCTAGGTATACCTAAATAATTATTTTCTAGATGAGAGCAAAAACATGTTGGCTTTATTCATTAAAAACATCACAAAAGAAGTTGGATAGTAAGCCTGTAAAACAGTGACCACCCCAACATAATCATACATAGTAATTTTCTATTCATTATCACATATATCTACTTCAACAACTTGTTAAAAATTTATTGTACCCTTACTTTGATTCTTACTTTATTAATATTAATCTAAATTTTAAAATTAGAAATTACATACACTATTATTAATATACCCTTTTCACCTGTTTATTGCCAAATAAGACATTTCACAAGGCAAGAACATTGGCTAAGCATATAGCTTAAAATATGAGTTACATTAATAAAAATAATTCAGTATTTAAATAAGTATTTTATAAGGCCTTACATAAAAAAGGATGAAGCAGTTAAAGTTGGTAGTGCTTATATTGGCAAACGATAGAGAAATTTGCAATGTGCTTAGATCCTCTCACATCCATTTTAGAGGGGTCTAAGGAAGTTGCTTATTTCCTCTAAAGTTGACAAATATAAGCACTTCCATAAAAGTGAAAACGTTGATGCTAACAATAGCGGTAGGGATATGTATTTATATTGAACTAAAATAGCTCACCAGTCTACAAAAGCTAAGAAAGTACATTATAATGAGAAATAGTAATACCTATATCACATGTAAATACCTTTTTAAAAAAGTCCAAGATGAACATCATCTAGTAATACATTTTTTGTGGGTAAAAATACAATAATACTATTTAAAATGAATGGTTAAAAACTGGCTACAAGCCTTTTGTATTGAAATGAATGACTGCAAATTTAGTAATTCACAATTGTGTAAAAATTAATCATCCCACTCCCCTCATTATATCAACAAAACATAAAAATATGAGCAAATTTTTTTTTAGTGGTACTAATTATATTACTATTGCTTACTTTATAAATTATGTGTTTTCATTAAAATAAACAAAACTGGAATTTTGTTTTCATTTTTCCCCAACTGAGACGTTATACTGTCAATCCATTTTGCAAGAGACTTTTAATTAATTTTTGATCGTAGTTTGTTTATTTATTTAAAAAGGGAGAATTTATTGTAAAATTGATCTCCTTTAACTGGCCATCATTTAAAGTTAATATTTTTAATGAAAATTAATTTTTATTCTGGCTACCAGAAATTAAAATTATGGTCACACTAAAATTAAACAAAATGTATTTATTTAAAAAAAGGAGAATTTATTGTAAAAATTATCTCCTTAAACTGGCCGTTACTTAAAGTTAATATTTTTAATGAAAATTAATTATTTTCTATCTACCAGAAATTAAAAACATAGTTGCACTAAAATTAAACCACATTGTATTATTTAAAAAGGGAGAATTTATTGTAAAATTTATCTCCTTTGACTAGCCATTATTTAAAGTTAATATTTTTAATGGAAATTAATTTTTTTCTGTCTACCAGAAATTAAAAACATAGTTGCACTAAAATTAAACCACAATGTATTATTTAAAAAGGGAGAATTTATTGTAAAATTTATCTCCTTTGACTAGCCATTATTTAAAGTTAATATTTTTAATGGAAATTAATTTTTTTCTGTCTACCAGAAATTAAAAACATAGTTGCACTAAAATTAAACCACAATGTATTATTTAAAAAGGGAGAATTTATTGTAAAAATTATCTCCTTTGACTAGCCATATAATTAAAGTGAATATTTTTAATGGAAATTAATTTTTTTTCTGGCTACCAGAAATTAAAAACATAGTTGCACTAAAATTAAACCACAATGTATTAATTAAAAAGGGAGAATTTATTGTAAAAATTATCTCCTTTGACTAGCCATATAATTAAAGTGAATAATTTTAATGGAAATTAATTTTTTTTCTGGCTACCAGAAATTAAAAACATAGTTGCACTAAAATTAAACCTTTATGTAATGATTCAAAAAGGGAGAATTTATTGTAAAAATTATGTCCTTTGACTAGCCATTATTTAAAGTTAATATTTTTAATGGAAATTAATTTTTTTTTCTGTCTACCAGAAATTAAAAACATAGTTGCACTAAAATTAAACCACAATGTATTATTTAAAAAGGGAGAATTTATTGTAAAAATTATCTCCTTTGACTAGCCATATATTTAAAGTTAATATTTTTAATGGAAATTAATTTTTTTTTCTGTCTACCAGAAATTAAAAACATAGTTGCACTAAAATTAAACCTTAATGTAATGATTCAAAAAGGGAGAATTTATTGTAAAAATTATCTCCTTTGACTAGCCATTATTTAAAGTTAATGTTTTTAATGGAAATTAATTTTTTTTTCTGTCTACCAGAAATTAAAAACATAGTTGCACTAAAATTAAACCACAATGTATTATTTAAAAAGGGAGAATTTATTGTAAAAATTATCTCCTTTGACTAGCCATATATTTAAAGTTAATATTTTTAATGGAAATTAATTTTTTTTTCTGTCTACCAGAAATTAAAAACATAGGTGCACTAAAATTAAACCACAATGTATTATTTAAAAAGGGAGAATTTATTGTAAAAATTATCTCCTTTGACTAGCCATATAATTAAAGTGAATATTTTTAATGAAAATTAATTTTTTTCTGTCTACCAGAAATTAAAAACATAGTTGCACTAAAATTAAACCATAATGTATTGATTCAAAAAGAAATAATTTATTGTAAAAATTATCTCATTTGACTAGCCATTATTTAAAGATAATATTTTTAATGGAAATTAATTTTTTTTCTGGCCACCAGAAATTAAAAACATAGTCCACTAATATTAAACCAAAATGCTTCTCATCTAAAATAATATTGTTGACACAATTTACATTTCTTGTATTTGTTCAAGGTAGTCTTGGTATAAATTTAATACAAAAAATATGATACCGAAAGATATAAACTTAAGTATGTTTAGATTAACTGTTTGTCAACTGTATCCTTAACTGTATGGAGGAGGTTTCTGGAAATGAAAAATTTAAATACATAGAATGTTTTGATGAAAAGTTAATAATCCTTTATTAGCTAACACCATTTTAAACAAGGCAAAATTTTGATATAAACAAAGTTCAAAATACTTTAAAACATTAGGCCTAAATAACAGGCAAATTGAACCTCAATAACTTGCAAATTTAAGTCAAACATGACTATTAAACCATTACATCTGTACACAGCAGTTTGTCACAAATTATTTGCTTAGCCCCCAGCCCCCCTTTCTAAAAAAAAACTTGCATTTTCCACAGAACAGTGTATCGGCTTGCCATAATAATGTATAAGTATTAAGTATAATGTTCGTACTCCAAAAGATTCAATATTATTTTCAAATACAAGACAAGGCATGGAGCAATAGCCCTGACGTACACAGATTTGATTTTTACAAATGAAAATGATCTGTATAGTTGTCTACTGGCAAGACAAGCGTGTATAACTTGTTGTAGGTTTGTATGTAGTGTATGTGTGTAGTTTGTATACAAAAGCATGTTAAAATAAAAGTTTGATATTTTGCTGATGTCAGAACTGACCTGTGGGGCAGCATAGGCTGGGGGTGGTGCTGCATAACCTGAAGGTGGTGCTGCATTACCAAGGTGCGGATAGCTAGGAGGTGGGGGTGCATTGGGTAGGGCTCCTTGGTAGTTCTGGGTGGTTGCTGAGGTGTGGACAACAGTGCCATAAGAGGGGTATTCAGAATTGGACATCACAACATAGCGATACTGCATTCTGCGTCGGCGCCAGCAGGCCATTCCAATAGCCAGAGCAATAAAAAATATAATCACCCAAATGATCCAGAACCCTGAAATATAAAACAATTATTAGGCATGGTGAAGGGGTTCATATTGATAGGGTGGGTGTTTGGCTCTGCATGAACATGGTGAATTTAGCATTGCTTTGTGGATCATACAAGCAAAACTTTGTCCAGAATTTGTTTGATCGTAATTTGTGTATGTATTAAAACATGAGAATCTAATATAAAAATGATCTTCAATTGATCATTATTTTAAGTTAATTCTATGCTTACAAATAATATAAATCCTAAAAACAAAACTTTATTTCTGGTAAAGAATATACAGATTTAAAACATAACAGCTTGAGGATAATTAAATCATGCTATCAATTTTTAACAAAAAAAAAAATAATGGCCTTTGTGATTGGCCAATAACAAAAAAGTGGAAAAAAGACCACGAGCCCAATGTGGCATCACTATTACTACTATAATGTATACTATAATTTATAGTGTAGTGTTGGACTACAGAGATCATATTCTAAATTTCCCCTCAAATTAAAAATAGTTTAAAATAATTAACTAAAAAAATATTTTAGCAACAAAACCATTGTGTCAGTTAATAGCATTGCAATGTACACAGACAAAAACATGTAGGATATATAGTTGACTTATTAGTATAATGTAATTAGTTTTAAGATAATTATTGTTTGTGGAGGTGCATGTTAAGGTAGGGGTGAAAATATTTGTTGATGTATGGTCTGTAACACTTGAATATTTTATGTTGTCTATAAAGAAATCTACAGGCATATATAATATGCAGTAGAGTTATTTTCCATGTAAAAATTTACTTACACCACATGTTAACAACTTCAAAGCTGTAACAGCATCCTCTAGCACCAGTGTCTAAAGTGCAGCAGTATGCGTCGTCACCTGAGAACAAAAACCAGTGACTGTTACTGTCTGATTCCTAATGATGCAAATGTCTTTTATCATCAGGGTGCTTCTCACTTCCCTTAAGGTTGTGAAACAGCTTTAATTAAATTTATATGCACCCTATAACTTCATAAATTTAAGAAGCTATGTTTTGATCTATCTAACTTTATTGTTAATAAATATTTATATACTTGGTGTTTGGACCATTATTTAATAAGTAAAATTTTAAACTAACAATAGTTGCCAAGGTTTCTTTTTAAAAAAATCTATGGCTCAGTTTTGTAAAATATGTTTTTATTTGGTTACATTTTAAATGGTTAGGCCTACTTTGTTAAATCAATTTAAAATTGCAACTCAGTGTAAACTTAATCTTATATCACTTAACACACCTTATAAAAAACCAAACTGTCACAGAACATCACAAACTGTTTCCCACATATTCAACAAGAAACACATTTTTAATGTTGTATTATTATTGACTTGTAGCTCTAAGTTAACAAGAGAAATATCACCCACATACACCATTCTTCAATATCCTTACAACAGCCGTGGTCATATTGTAATTAAATGACCCCTAAGAATGTATTAAAAACTTACCATAGCATGTGAAAAATCCACATTGTATGTAAGCATCCTGCAAAACACAATGAGTGCAAAATCATACATTGAAAAAGAAACATTTTAAGCTAAAATTACTGATTAAAGTAAATTAATAATATTTGCTATTAAAGTTTGCTTACAAGTTTTTTTTAGAACTAAATAAAAACAAATGTAGTTGTAAACATATGGGATATATTGAGACAATATAACTCAGATCATTAACTGAAAATTACACTGGAAGGTTGTTTGATTAAAGCAGAAGTTACCAACACAACAGTTTGTGCTTGTTAGTGAGGGGGCAGCAGTAATAGGGCAGGGAAAGAAGGTAGAATAGTCTAGGGTGTTGACTAAGATTTTAAACTTCATTATTGTTCAAGATAACTTAAACAGTTAAAAACTACATTTATTTACCATTTACCTGTCATTTGATACCAGTTTCAATTATCAAAATTAATGGCTAGCCTAATAAATGATTTGTTAAAAAACGCGTTTGTTTTTAAATGGCTACAATGATATGACTGATACTCAGTGATACAGTGGGTTAGTTTTGAAGGAGTGTTGTTGAGACGCGATAGACCTGTTCACTGACATTCAGCAGAATTGTGTCTTCTTCCCATTAAAATTAAATACACATCAGACAAAATGGGCGGGCTTAGTTAGCTGTTGTCTTGATCCAGTTATTTTTGAAGGTTTTTTTTTTTACTCTGCATGATTTTTAAAAAAAATTAATGAAATTAGTTTAGTGGAACGTAATATTTAATTTTCTATATTTTAGAGCATTTTGAGTAAAATCACAACAAAATTAAATACAGCAATTCAGGTTTTGCTTACTTTTATTATATTCTGCTCAATATTCTCAGCAATTAGACAAAAAATTGTACAAATGACAAGTTTGCATCAAGCAATACTCGCCCATTGTTAAAACTAGATCAGTATCGTTGAATAATACGCAAAAATAACTATTTAAAGTATATTAATATATTTCTGAAATTACCATGAAACATTGTTAAAAAATGGAATCATAGCACACAGTATCGTCACTTTCTGCAGCCATCATTACCATAACGACGGTAAAAGAAAGTAGGTCATGCGACAGGCTAGAATAGTCTATATACAAATAATGGACAGAAGTGTGTGTGTGTGGGTGGGGGGGGGGGTGTATAAACTCTGAGTATGTCCTGAGTGCTGAGTATCAGCACTAAAAATTCATAAGTATTAAGTAGAGAGAAAACAACCTTGGCTTTAACTTACCACACATGATGATAGGCATATTACTGCCACAATTGTATAGCTCAGCAGGGATGTAAATTCCATGATTTCTAGTAGATTCTTCTCTATGAATTTCTTCCTAGTGGGGAAAAATTAATTTCATTTAGATCTAACTTGAGTGTTACCTCACAGGTATTATTATAAAAAAATAGACCAAAAGTGGTAATTAAATAATTATGCATTTTTTTGTAGCCCTAACATTGTAACAACATTCAACATAGTCTTATATAATCAGAGTGGCATTCATTATTAATAGTTTAATATAGACAGATTAAAACCTAATTTATTAATTAATTAACAATGACCTATATACTATATATAGTATATACTATATAGATAGTTTAGTTAGAAAGGCTATCCATTAAGATTAAAGTATGATTAAATTTAAAGTTCCCTGAAAACTATTAACTATAAATATTATATTATATAGGCCTAGATCTAGATCTAGTAATAGGCCTAAGTAATATATAATAATAATATTAATATACAGTTACTTATAAATAATAGGGTCTACTTAGTACTTATTAGAATATTAGAGTAGTACTCTAAACTCTAAGTCTAGATCTACTGATCTAGTTATTTATTATTTAATAATATTTAATTTATTTATTTAGTTAGCCTAATAATTAAAATTAATATTCCATAGGCCCCTAAAATAAAAATATCAACTTTGAACATAGACTGCAAAACATTAACACGGAAGATCTTAGAAATGTGACGAATAACTTCAATAGATTACAATTACAAACCTGTTGAATGTAAAAAACAACAACAACAACAAATTGATGTAGATCTACTTCAGTCTTCAGTGGTACACTAAATCAGCCCTACTAGGAAAAGTAATGTCACATGACACACAGCTATTGTTGCTAATGTACTATAAATAAATTTGCGGGTATTTTTGCAGAGCAGGGGTGTCGCATAAACATTTTGTTGTCAAATATAAATAGAGAAATACGTACCCAGTTTTTATTTTGAAAATTCACAGTTTAATTATCAACACTAAACTTTTTAATTGTAATTTCAATTTTATTTCGTTGTTTGTATAATTGATTAATTTTTACATATCTGTTGAGGCCAATATCACGAAAATAAATAAAAAATAATGCATATCTGAAAAAAAAAATTCATAAAAAACGTTTTAATAACAAGCTTTTATGTAATGATGCACTAAAAAGTAGAAAATAAATTATAGACTACTATTTAAATAACTATAAAGAAAAGCGTGGGTCACTTTAGTATCTATTGGATACCTTTACTAATGTTAAGGAAGACACCCACGCTTTTCTTTATAGTTATTTAAATAGTAGTCTATAATTTATTTTCTACTTTTTAGTGCATCATTACATAAAAGCTTGTTATTAAAACGTTTTTTTATGAATTTTTTTTCCAGTACTTTACATGTTTTATTTACAATAGAGTTACATGACTAAAAACCATTGCGCGCCTACTGAACATCACGTTCAGTAGGCGCGCAATGGTTTTTGAACGCAGCCATTACGTGATGGCGCAGCTATTGAAGGTGATGACGCGTGTGGTGTGGTTGGCTAGATATGCCTACTAATTCGGCCTAAATTTTAATTAATTCATTAAAAATCAATTAGGCATCCAATTAAGTCAAATTTAGTTTCAGATTGCATTGTCTTCATGTCTTGACCCACGTGCCAAATGTGAATCGTATCGGTCAAGTAGAAGTTTCCGAATTTTCACTCCTGCGTTTCCGTCAAGACTGACGACAGAGGAAGTGAGTTAAATAAAAGCTTGTAAAAAAAATTCATAAAAAACGTTTTAATAACAAGCTTTTATGTAATGATGCACTAAAAAGTAGAAAATAAATTATAGACTACTATTTAAATAACTATAAAGAAAAGCCTGGGTCACATTAGTATCTATTGGATACATTTACTAATGTTAAGGAAGACACCCACGCTTTTCTTTATAGTTATTTAAATAGTAGTCTATAATTTATTTTCTACTTTTTAGTGCATCATTACATAAAAGCTTGTTATTAAAACGTTTTTTATGAATTTTTTTTTCAGTACTTTACATGTTTTATTTACAATAGAGTTACATGACTAAAAACCATTGCGCGCCTACTAAACATCACGTTCAGTAGGCGCGCAATGGTTTTTGAACGCAGCCATTACGTGATGGCGCAGCTATTGAAGGTGATGACGCGTGTGGTGTGGTTGGCTAGACATGCCTACTAATTCGGTCCAAATTTTTATTAATTCATAAAAAATTAATGAGGCTTCCAATTAAGTCAAATTTAGTTTCAGATTGCATTGTCTTCATGTCTTGACCCACGTGTCAAATGTGAATCGTATCGGTCAAGTAGAAGTTTCCGAATTTTCACTCCTGCGTTTCTATCTAGACTGACGACAGACAGACTGGCGACGACAGAGGAAGTGAGTTAAATAAAAGCTTGTAAAAAAAATTCATAAAAAACGTTTTAATAACAAGCTTTTATGTAATGATGCACTAAAAAGTAGAAAATAAATTATAGACTACTATTTAAATAACTATAAAGAAAAGCGTGGGGCACTTTAGTACTTTAGTACCTATTTTATATCTTTACTAATATTTGAGAAGAGACCCACGCTTTTCTTTATAGTTATTTAAATAGTAGTCTATAATTTATTTTCTACTTTTTAGTGCATCATTACATAAAAGCTTGTTATTAAAACGTTTTTTATGAATTTTTTTTCAGTACTTTACATGTTTTATCTACAATAGAGTTACATGACTAAAAACCATTGCGCGCCTACTGAATATCACGTTCAGTAGGCGCGCAATGGTTTTTGAACGCAGCCATTACGTGGTCGTGATGGCGCAGCTATTGATGACGCGTGTGGTGTGGTTGGCTAGACATGCCTACTAATTCGGTCCAAATTTTAATTAATTCATAAAAAATTAATTAGGCATCCAATTAAGTCAAATTTAGTTTCAGATTGCATTGTCTTCATGTCTTGACCCACGTGCCAACTGTGAATCGTATCGGTCAAGTAGAACTGTCCGAATTTTCACTCCTGCGTTTCCGTCAAGACAGACAGACAGACTGACGAGGAAGTGAGTTAAATAAAAGCTTGTAAAAATGAGCATAAACGCATTCAGTAAAAAAATAAATCAATAAAATCAAGAAATAAGATACTCTTTGTGCACATATTAAGCATATGTAAAGAGCCAGGAAGGTGGTTTATTATAGATAGATATATATGTTTGATTTCCTAAATTTTACTTTCGCTCATTTTAAGGTCTTTAGAATGTCGAGAATAATTGAGCGATTCCTTCTTGAAATTAAACCCAATGATTCCTAGAAATATTTCATACCATGAGGTGTAGCCTAATTGTGTAGTGGTCTATGGAAAAGTGACATACCGTTTTCTGATGAGGAAGGGTGGGTGGGTGGGGGTGTCAAATTACTTTGCGTTAAGCGATGTGTGCACAATCCTAGGCCAATTTATGAGCAGCGTTTTTTGTGTGGTAGACACTGTTACTTTCAGGTATCCCGACGTGGGGGAGTGGGTCACTGTCTCCCCATAAGAACACACCCCTCGATATAAAAACATATTGATTTTTTAAATAGAGAATATGTGTCGGGCCTATATATTCACCATCTAATAATTGTCAGTCATTGGAAAATTTTCAAAGGCCCGGACCCGGAGCAAAATGTTTGAAAGATAACCAGGTCTTAGTTTAAAAAACGAAGGAACCAATATATATATATATATATATATATATATATATATATATATATATATATATATATATATATATACGCAGGGGCGGATTAAGCTTCCGCTGGGCCCCTGGCTGAAACTTTTTCCGGGGCCCCCCCAACTATATACTATATACTATATATATATATATATATATATATATATATATATATATATATATATATATATATATATATATAGTTTATATAATGACATATCACAAAACAGATGCCTTCCCAGAAATAATGGTCGAATGGAATAAAGTAAAGGTTAACTGAAGCCATGGCATAGGGCATAGACAAAAATGCTACATTTAATGTAGTGTTAAACTACATTGAGACATAAGAGTAAGAGCATTTAAAGTAACAATTATTTATTTACTAATGCAAAATAAATTATGAATACATACATTTACTTCATTTCTTTTTACTCAGAACTAAAGACCAAGTAACTTTTATAGGGAACATTTTCGAGTTTTCCTGATAGCAAACTCTTCTAATAGTTCTGTATAATTCAGTGAGCTTACAATGTCATTTTCTATGCTCATAAGTGAGAGCATACTAAGTCTCTGCTGTCCCATAGTGCTTCTAAGATCGCTTTTAATCTTTTTCATTTGGGGAAAATGAGCGCTCTCCGCTGCAGTTAGACGCCATCATACACAAATAAATTCAAAGAGCAATGTGCATATTTGGAAAGCTCTAAATGCTCTTGAATCTATTAATAATAAATTATTTTGAATATATACACTTAAAAGTTTTAGCTGAGTACCCCAAAATATGGAAGAAGATTATGAATTCACTAGGCATGCTGCTCAGCTTCGCTTAGGCTTTCGAAAACACTGAGAATTTGAATGCTTAATTAATTCGCCCATATAAGGCGCCAGTCAGTCGAGGTCAGTTTTGACCCCCTCATCGTAGACTTTTCGGCCAACCGGCCCCCGTGTTCTGCCACCCCAAGGCAAGATCCTGCCAAATTTGAAGCGCCTGCGGCGCCGGGAAGTGCCCTGTCGGGCACCTGACAACTTACCTTTATAGATCATCTAGATCTAGATATCTCTAAATCTATATGATCTAGAATCTCTAGATCTAGATGATCTAGAATATCTAGATCTAGATCAATATCTAGATCTAGAATCTCTAGATCTAGAATCCAAATAGATAAAATAATTTTTTTAAGTTTAGGCCGAGAAAATCGTATTGTATACATTTCATAGCGTACATAGCTCTAAATCATATTTGAATGAAATAGTTCATTTCTTTTTATTAAATCCGGTTGCATAAATAATACTGTTTCTCTACATTCGAATACACCTTTATTTTTAATTTACTTCTTTAAATAAAATTGTGGTTATACATTTAAAACATTTAAAACATCTAACGTATTATTTTCAACAAACGTCCGTATATAGGTATCCATATATCGCTCCTGATTCTGACGTGATGTCCGGCGAAAATATTTTGCGGACAGACAGAGAGAGAGAGAGCGCACATTTGCCTTTTATATATTAGGATTATTTATTGGGCATAAAATATAATATTTTATGATCGGTGGAAAACCTACGAGGGGGTTAATTTTTCAAGATTTTCCCACCATTTGTTTAGTGGAAATGCATATGCGGATGTATTTTAATAAAGCTATAAATAAATAACTGTTATCTAACGAGTATTAAAAAAGTTTTTTTTTACCGGAGCCTCCCCCCTTATAACATTTTTTACTTATCAAGGCGAAAACATTGACTACGGCTAAATTACAACGAATTCACAACTCAAAAAATGTTTTAATGGGTGAAACTTCGGGGCAGGGAGACAGTTGGGGGACATGTCGGGTGTGTGTGTGTGGAGGGGGGGGGGTAGATGCCATGCCCTGCAATAGAGTCTCATCCAGTTTTGTATTACCCCGCGGGATAGCGGTAACGCTTTTATTTATAGACTTCTTCTCTCTTGGCCTGTTTTGGCAATTCCTATAGTGCGATTAATACGGGTGAGAGTGTGCCTTGAACTAGAGATGTTTGCATTTTTTTTTGTCTCTAAGCCACTCGGTCAAAATGTCAATACTTAAAAAAAAAAACACTTCTACATCGGTACGTGTCTAACCATCCACTTTGCTATGCCAGACCCTCCCTACAACTGGGACA